TCCGTTAACAGTTACATGAATGTGTGGATGGATTAGTCGACAGTTGTTCCACAGTTTTTGAGTAAATAAATAAGCAGATGGTGAGTCAATAAATAAGCAGTTGGTGCACAGTCAGTGAATAAATAAATAATAGTAATTGCAGAGTGAATAAATAAGGACAGTAAACAGTTATTGTTCAATGAATGAACAGATAATTGAACAGTTTTTAGACGGTAAATGATAAATAACTGTTTTTTTCACAGTATGTGGATACATGATTTTAACAGTTATTTCACTGTAAAGGAATCAATTGGATAAGCGTTGCACAAGAGAGGTAGCTAGGAGTCAATATTGCACTCTAATGCTTGTTGTTGGGAGGGTTTACGAGGTCAGCAGTTTGTCCACAGTGGGAAAGAAGCTGTTTCTCATATTGTATCATATTGTAAGGTATCATATAATATCATGAGCTATACCCCTGATAATAGTGCATTCAGGGTAATCCTGACACGTCACTGAAATGTGTGACAAGTGAAAAATTGTAGCATTTTACAAACCCCCAAGGCCGAACAAATCCGCCAAACACTAGGTCCACCTGTCAAGAATGCTTTTGTTCATCCATTGGTGAAGAAACATGTGTGAGAAGTATGGATAGAGCGATATAGATGGTATTAAGTCAAACTCTAAAGGAGGCCGGGTTTGAGTGCAGCTTTAGAAGAAGCTCTGCCTGTAAGGCCTGATTTAGGACAGATGTTCTACTTAGAAAACGGCAAGATTTGGGTTCCCCTCCAGAATTGGACACTTTAATGTTGATACAGTATGGTGTTCATTATACGGAGTCATACACAATCTGCTGCTTTGTTTATGGCTCCAAATTAGTCCAACAAATGCAGGAAGTGTACACCTCCCCCTTGCGCCGCCTGCCATGTTTGATCCGTTGCCAGCAGGAGATATCTGCCTCCCATCAAAGTCATGTCTTTATCTTTGAGGTCAGTCACCTGCTCTGTTTGCATGAAAAAGGTATAATGCTCATAATTTGATGTCATCAACTCACTTGACCATAATCCCCAGCCCACACACAAACATCTGTCCCCCTGCTTGGCATTCAGAAGCTCATATTTGACATTTTATTAACAGCGGAAAAAAAAGCCAAGGACATATTTCATGGTCTGCTGAGGGCTTGTAAACCCCCCCATGAAGAGATGATCATCCATCTGCCAGTTATTCTCCTTAAGTGACTCCGGCTCCTAGTGGGTGTGGGCTGTGTTTTGGGAGGGATGCCCTTCATTACAGACGTCAAGGTCACCTCGCCCAGGGACAATCCAGTGCTGTCGGTCTGCTGTGTTTGCATTTTTTAGCTTGAATCAGATGAGTTGGTATGCTTGAGGAAAAACCAGTGGTGCATTTCTTCCAAATACAAAATAAAACCAGCCGAACTCTGAAAATAGTTATCCAGTGGGTGAAGCTCAGATTTTTGTCTTTTATTTTCTCGTAAATCCTTCAGTTTTAACCATCATGGCTGGCCTTTTTATGCATTTTTATCCATCCAATCATTGCAGTCTGTGATGAAGGTTAACATGTGTCCAGGCACATTGTATTTACACGTTCACATTGTACACAGACCCATTAATAAATCATTGTGCCGATGCTTAGATGGATGATTTATCCTGCTGTGACTGTGCCAGCTCTGTGCTGAGCCAGGGCAGTGCCGTAGATCATTCCTGGAATTCTGAGGAACCTCGGCAGACGCCAGAGAGATGTGCAATTCAGTCCAGACAGTAACATCAACAAAGGCATCGAGATTCAGACGAGGGAAACACAAACGGTAAAAGAAGAGAGGCGGGAATGGTGAGGGAGATGCCAAGATGGGAATATGGAGTGATTGAATCACTGACCGGCTTTTGAAATGGGTTTAGTGTGTGTGGTCTCGACATGACATTTTTGGACTCTCCTGCAGGTCTTCACTGCACAATTGTTTTCTTCTTGTTGTAAATACACACCTTGTTTTTTAAGTAAATATATATAAACACTAATCCAAAAGATGAACACAAGAAGGAATAGTTATTATAGCCCATGTGCACAGGAAGACATAACCAGGAGGAAGCGGACATATTGCCATATGGAAACTGTCTGTGTTTTAACTAGCTGTAACTGTGGATCCATTTGTGCTGAATAATCAAATGGACGTACAATATAAAGTGGCTGAAATTAAACTTCTGTTTGTCATTGCAGGTTCTGTCATATTAGGATGTTTAAAGGTTTAATTAGCGGACCTTGATTCACACTTAAGTTACACACATACACGCACAGTTACAGTTGGCTACACTTGGGCATTAAAGGCATTGCATACAGAGGAGATAGTTCCACTCTCCCCTCACAGATGTTTTCACAGTCTGGTGATTAAACCTGCAACCTTTAGGTCAAACTTTTGCTTCAGGCTATATCTGCAAACTGCCATGTTAAGTATTTGACAATGGACATTGTTTGCTCTTAATATACTGTATTTCTGTTTTGGATTTTGCATTTCCTCATACAGCTTTCAAGCATCCAATCTGATACAGACATCGGCTAAAATGTACAAGTATCCAATAATGGGTGATATAATTTGAAAAAAAGTTTCTCATAGTCATTTTGTCACATTTCATCACCTCCCTCTTGGGCATGATCTTTTCTTCCCTAATGAAACCTGATCTACATTTTACTCAAATACCCTGAACCTTGTAGTCTATCCTTGCTTTATACCTCTTAGACAGTGGTGACTTTTGAAGGGACCCAATAGAGGAATTCTGTATAATGCCCAGGGGCGTATAAGTCATGCAGTCATGAGTGACCAGGGCCCCACATTAAATCTGATTGGCCACCCCAAAATCCTTGGCAATGATTGGCTATTTGCCTTGTCAGAGGCGGGACTTTGGGCTGTATTGCAGGCTGTGTGTAGCTTTCTTTGCATTTCAATGTGATACATTTCCATCTGTTAGAACGTCATGACTAAATCATGGCTTTGGTCAAACATCTCATGTCATTAAATATTTCATCTTATAGGATTTACATGTTAGATAGATATTTTATTGTTCCCGAGGGAAATTTCAAGGCCTCTCTGTTTGTTACTTTTTAGAATTTTAAAATTAAACACAGTAATATATCATCTTTGAGATACTTGATGTTTGAAGTTTAAGTAGATACTGTGAGAGGGTAAGTGCTTTAAATTTGTTTGTGGGGACATAAGGTTTATGCCAGTCCTGCTAAAGCGCAAGTCAGTGCTCCATTTTGGCTACTCTAGTCATAAAAGTCTGATTTCACACTGATTATTGCCTATGTACATAAAATCTTTACACGTGCATTAAGGAAGACAGACCTGCAAGTGAGTAATAACCAAACAATAGCTAGAAATAATATCACAGCAGGGGACAAGGTTGACTGAAGCTTGCTCAGTATGTAGAATTTAAACATATGTTGATTTGGGTTATCCTATACCCAGCTCATATATAATTGGCATAGGGCGGTGAATATATAACGTGTTCCAGAGGACTAAGCTTGTGCAGATGTTGCCTCCTGTAATTTAATGCAATCTGCATGTATGTGCTTCCTCCTTGGGGGGGCCACCATGAGCACAGCCTTCTTTCACCTTTACATATTATTTTCCCTTCTTACTCCAGGTTGATTCTGAAAAAGGTCAGCTGAGGTGCCCATATGTGAGATTGCTATAGATAACATTTTCTACATCAGGCACATAGGGGGAGAAATTCCTTTGGGGATGATTGTGGAAAAAAGATCCTTTGGCTGATGGAAATGTCGGGAGCGTGGATCTAATTTCCTCTCCCAAAAGCTTGTGAAAAACACACAGCCTCAGATAAGTACAGAGAGGGGTTATTTATCTGCTGTGTAAGGGAACTTGCCATACCTAATGGCTGAATGAGAGGGACTATGCAATAGTTCATTTTTAAAAGCTTAGAGACTCCCTTAAAGCTGGGAATCATTCCATCTATCCATCCATCCATGGACCCCCTTAAAGCTAGGAATCATTCCCATACATATTTGTATTAAACAGTCAAGAAACATGTGTCCCTTGTACTGAACAGCATCTGCCTTGTTGTTGTTGTCATACTTTATCTCCACATTGGTGCAAAGCTTTGTAATGAAGCCCAGAAGAATATAAGCGTACCTCATGGAAGTAGACATTTGGTTTCTATTTGTAATCACAAATGAAGAAATGGACAATGTGAGTTATCTCCGGAGTAAGTTTTGGGTGTCAGGGCTCAGGAAATGAAAGTTCATTTTCTGCACTTAAAATGTTTGCTGATTGGCAATTGGCAAACGTCCAAGGCTTGGATTGGCTTGAAAAGCTGGATGAATCCTCAGCACAAAAGGTTAACAGCTGTTTCAGAAAATACCTGTTTCTTTGAAAAGAGTCAAAAGTCAAACATGGTTTCTATAGAAAGTATTTAGAGGGGACAACTAAAAAACCCCGGGCAGCAGATCAATCGTATCGAAACTTAAAAAAAATCTTGTTATGTCTGAGTGCTAATAACAGCAAAATGATGTAAAGATTACCTTCTGTAGAAGCCTTATACTACAGAGGGTACATACTTTCAGATTAAAGATCAACCCCAGACAAATCCAGCTGTTGCTATACCTTGTTTTGTTCCAAATCACACTGGCAAAGTGCGCTGTATGAGCTGCAGATCTTATTTCGTGCCTCTGACTGGCTCCCTCTCAACAGCAACAGTGGCTAAGTCTCCGCTGTTTTGTAGCTCTCAGAGCCATTTGCCAATCCAAACTGGAAAATCCTGATTTCTCAGAAGCTGAAGTTGAAATGAATAAAATTGATGGCTATAACGTAAACCTATAGTGCTCTAAGTTATCCAGCAGACTGCCTGTTTTCTTTTGGCAAACATTGAAGAAAAACTCTGACATGGGAATTTACAGTGGGGAAAAATTACCCCCAATACGTGTCTCGAAAGTCCATGAAATTTGTTGACACGGCTTCTGCTGACATTCTGCTTCATTTTTTCTTCTTCTTCTAGGGTGACATCCAGCAGCTGCTGATAGTGGCAGACCCCAGGGCAGCCCATGACTACTGTGAACACTACAGCCCCGACTGTGAAACCCCAAACCACCACGACACTCCCCAGGCTCAGGAACCTGAGGAAGAGGTCAGTATCTAGAGGGGGAAGGAGGCATGCTGGGCCACAGGAGTTGTTGCCTGTAGGGGAGGGAAGAATAAGTGAGAGTGGGGGGGGGGAGTAGGGAAAGGGATTTAGAGATGGTTGGATAGAGGAGAGGAAGGGGGAAAGGAAAACCAGGAGGGAGAACATATTGTATGAGCTGGAGTTTGAATTAAGGATGATAAAAGGAATTTGGAATGTGTTTTTAAGACCTAGTTGTTGTTAATAAAAGTAGCAAAAGATGAGGTCAGAGACTAAATTAGGAGGACTGTATGTATGAAAAAGGCATAAATCAAAGACAAAGTTGAAATATTTCACCAGAGGTTGCAGCTTGGTCTTGACCCTGGATAGCTTAAAAACAACTACAAAATATCCCCCACCTTTCTTAACTACAGTAGCACACACATCATTTGCCATTATTAACTTGAGTTGTGTGATACAATTTGTTAATTTAGTTAGTTTGAGTTACATTTGAAACACTTTAACCAGCAAGCTGGACTTTATGTGGAAATGGAAGGTTAATGGTCGGATCAGACTTCATTTTTTGTTTAGGGGTCTTGCTAACATAAGTAGCTAGTATGTCCTTCGTTTGGGCAATTGAGGTGATGGGTAAATAATCTGGCTGTGGAGAGTCACAGCGTCCTATAAAAGAGGTTTAGGGCTGGCTAAAGCCAAACCAAAGCTGTACCAGGATTCTAACAAGTGTACTCTCAATTCAAATTAAGTGTATTCAAGGATAGCTGGATATGTTATTATTATTATTTTTTGTCTATGTCCTGTACATGTGATTGCTCAACCTAGATCAAAGTGTTGAAAATTAACATTAGTTATAAACTCTGTGTAGTACATTAGTTAGCTTCATCACTACCACATGCAATTGAAATCCCTGGTCAGCCCTTCACTCTCAGTATTCTGTAGATATCCCCAGAAAAAAACAAATGGAGTAAAGCAAAAACATGAGAGCTAAAGTGAAAGAGACATAGAGTAACAGCTGTTATTCTTCTTCTACTGTCAGCCTGCGCAGGTATTTCTTCAATCAAATTAGTAATGACATCCAAAAACAAAACGTCACACCCCTGGAGAACAGAGCTGTGAAGAGCACTGTCAATGGAAAAAAATAACGACAAAAAAAAACATTTTAGAAAAGAAGGAGTGGTTTGAGGATTAATAAGTTATGTAAAAATATGTAGCTGTGGTACAACCTATTTGAACACCACCTGCCAAACACGGCAAGTTTAACCTTTCCCAACCCCCATTTTGAACCTTTTTCTCCTGAACACCAAACACAAACTTTTCATAAACGTCTATCACAGTGACAGATGTTAATAATAATAGTAGAAAACCTTTGACCTGGTTTTATCAGTGCAGTTTCAGTCTGTTAGAAACACAAAAATAGTCAATGTTGTCTGCAAATTGTGTGTTCCTTAATGTTAACTAACAGATAGAAGCTTCTATCACCTCTAATCCACTCTTTCCTAGTTCAGTATTTTAGCCGATTGATCAGAGCATTGTGGCATTTGAACTCATCTTCTCAAATTCCTTTATTTCCACCGGCTCCAAAACATTGTAGAACTCCTTAGCCAGATCTCGTCATTGAAATACAGTGCCTTTTTTTTCATCATCTTCTTTTGTTATTTTGCTGTTTTATGCTTCTTCTTTTTTTTTTTGTCAGATGACATTTTGCTTCAGTACTTCACTGAATAACTGATGAGCTCACACTGGAAACTTTTTTCTCTTTTTCCCTGCCACGAAGTCTGAGCCCACTTTGGAGTGGCCCCGTGATTTATATCACTAACGAGTTCTGCAGACTCTGCCCAGACTCCCAGGGAAATATAAGCTTTTCCTTCCCCAGCTAGGCTCCCAATACCTGGAAAAGTAGACATTGGATCTAGAAAAAAAAAAGAAGAAAATCAGGAGCTGGTTCTGTGTTTGAAATTATTGGCTGTACAGTGGGTACCATGTCCTGGAAAGTATTGCTTCATCATCCAGTGACTTTTCAAAGCCAAGACAAGGAGCTTGTCGATTCTTAATAGACAGTAGGGAGCAATTTGGACGGAGGAGCGCTGAAAATCTGGATAATTCATACTTTCTGCAAAGTTACAAGAGGAATGTATTCTTACATTCCAGCTGAGTATTTTAACCAATTAATTTCCTGATGCACACAAAGAATACTTCCTCTATCGGACAAATCTTTCTTTGTGGGGTTGAAATTACACAGCTTACTCTTTTACCATAAAGTGTTTGTGTTTACAATGTGGTCCTGACCTACCTCCTCAATTTTATTTAACCAATCCTCCACAATTCCACAAAGCGTGGAGCGTGGCTTTGACCGTAGCCTCTGAAGATCTTCCTTGACCTGAAGGCTGCCGCCTGTGCAGCCACATGTCTGCAGCTGGGTTCAAAAGAGGAAGAGGGGGTGATGCAGGAGGAGGAAGGAGGAGCTTCTTTTTTTTCTTTTTTTTATGAGCACACTTCAATATTTAGGCCTTTCATCCGAGGCTGTGGTGAAGGCCTTCAGCTCGGCCAAGCATTTCAACGCCATAAATCATTATAAATCCTTCCTTCCCTTTCTATCTTTTTCTCTATATTTCTCTCTGACCCTCTCCTGCTCTCCTCTCTGTGAGTCTAAAGTAAGTCTGGCCAGGACTTCTCTCTTGTGTGACCTCTCTCTCTCTCTCTCTGGACCACTGAACGAAGGCCTGGCCAGCACTGCAGCAGGTCGGAGGATCTTGTATTATTTTTATGAGCTTAGCAGTTGTCCAGGGACTAATATTTATCCCTGAGCTGATAGAGCGATGCATATCAGGGGCTGGTCTGTTAACTTAATCACAAGCTCTTTTTTCTTTTTGACAGTGTTAGTGGCAGTAGAATAAAAAGGAATGTCAGTATGAATCTTAAGTTCTTCACATAGTGTCATGATTTAAAAGAATAATGGAATCTGGGGTGTGCTGTTTTGGTCTTACTGTTGCTATCTATCTACACAGTATAGGAACCAAACTATTGTTTGATTATTTGTCATCATGTGTGGGGTCTCTCCCCTTTCTAACATCTGTGAAGATTTTAAAAATCTTTAATCTAAGCTAAGCTAACTGTCCTCCTGGCTTCGATTTAATAATCACAGGCAGGATCTACCTGTGGTTTTGTTCCTCTTACTTAACTCTCATGAAAAAAGAGATATTTGCTGACTACTATGTTGAACTATTATTCTGACATCGGTCTCATGCGGATGCATGGTGTTTATTATGATGTCTCCTCTCTTGTGGGTCAGGTAAAAATGTATTCTGTAAAGTTAATAAAACTGCAAGATAGATAATAGAGAAAACAGACCACATAATAACTTGATGAAATGCTTTGGAGCTAAAAAGAAAGAAAAAAAAAAGAGTAAGGTAACACATGTTTTTACAGAGCCTGGTGTAAACCAACAGTGGTTCTACCCTCTGCTAATAGTCGGTATGTTCCCCGTAATTTACCAACATGGGATTAGTCAGGGGATCTTAATGTAAATGTTAACGGGCACATTAATGAAACCCAGGGGTCATTCTTGGCTTACAAAATTAAGTGGTACAGGCTGATAGGTTTTCACTGGCACCACATTAACCCTGAGACATCCTGTTAGGAGCAAACCAGAGCCTTAATGACTGTATTCTTTGTTACACACATGAACCTTTCAAGAGGTCATGTGGGGGTTGCATTACCGGGTTTCTGTTGTCATCCATATGCAAAACTGTTCAGCTACCTGATATGGATGTGACATAATTGTACCATGTTATTTCTAAAAAGCAGGATGACACAAATATTACAATAGTTTACAATTAGTGGTAAACACTTTCGAGAATAAGCTCCCATGAGCGATGTAAATAACTGACCTTATTTACATGATTGCACGCATTAATGGGTTGGTTTCCGTCACTGTTTCCCTACAGTACACTAACTATGACTATGGTGAGTTCTATGACTACTCTGAAGGAGGGATTACCACTGACGCTCCACCAACTGAAGGAGCCAAGGCTGAGGTAACATTGACTTATACAGTCATGCAAACGTATCCATCCCTTTCCTCTGGTTTTAAGTCTTTGTTTTTTTCTCTATTAATCTCATTTTATCCACCTTTTGCACGACTTTTCCCGTATGTTTTACATTCAACTTTTCTTTACCCTGCTTGCAAGCGGTGCACATTTTGAACATATCATGACTTTGATATCATATGGTCTATATCAGTGCTACTCAACTGGTGGATCGGGACCCAAAAGTGGGTCATGAATGTATGCCTTGTAGGAAAAAAAGTGCCACAAAGTATATGAAGCACTTTTTTTTTTACATCTGTCAAGCTGCACGGTTAATCAAACAACTCTGATTAGTTGAAAAATATCAGAAATTTGGGTCACTATTTTTCATGCAGGAGTTGGTGACAGGTCCTGAAGCTAAACCAGTTGAGAAACACTGGTCTACATTCACTAAAATGCATCCCTCTCATATCTGTTGCCAGCTTGTTTATCTGGAAAGTCACAAACTTGACATGTGCTTTAGTTAAAGCTCTTGAATGCAGCCTAAACATTAATTTACCAATCTCTGATTGAAAAAAATTCTGTTTGTGTGCTATTGTCGCCAATTTCAGACGAATGTGGGTGGAGACTTCTACACGGGTGAGTATGACTACACCACAGTGGATGGAAGTCAGCCTGAAACTCCGACTGAGAACGCCGAGAAAGGACAGGTAACTTTTTTAAATTGATTGTTTTTCACCCTAAAAGATCAGGAAATAATTATGTCTTCATTTTGTCAACAGAGATTTTACCCGTTTACATGAAATGAGTTGAGTGATCGATAGTCATTTGAGGTTTCGAATATGCCTTGTGGCTCCTTCCCCGCATGTCCTTCCCCAATCCCTTAATCCTAAAATAATGATAATAATTAAGAATCTGATCTCATTAGAGTCACACGAGAGTCACAAGCTGTGAAAATGATGAGCGCTATAGTGAATCTCTATTTAACTTAATACCATGTACAGATAGTATTTTATTAACACTGTCTTTCATTTTTATAACTAGACATAAGTATCTTATTTATTATTCATAAGTATCTTATTTTGATTTATTTGACAGTGACAGTTTTTTGACCACAGGCGCTAGTTCAAACTCTCATGGTGGGACAAGCTTTTTTAATTTTAGGAACATTTCTCTCAGCTTTACAGACTTATATTATCCAATTAACATTCACATTCCAATGTATGTACTTCCTCTATTATTATGGAATTTCTGTAAAACTCCTACTGCTTCAAAACAACCATGAGGTTGAATGCCAACAAAGCCTCAGTAAGAACAAGATCAGTCTTCTCCTTGATTTCAATGGGAAACTGCTGCCATCAAACCAGAGTATGGATTAAAAACTGAAGCAGGAAAACTTTGTCTGTTAATGAACTGTGACCAATGGAAAATCAGTAAACAGACTCATCCCCTTTGTTACTGCCTTATCCTGAGTTTGGCAGATCCTGTCCCAATTTTTTGCTTAACCATCACATAACACACAGCGTAATGAGGAACATTTGGAGGCTAAACCAAAACAATACGGCTGTGTGCTCTGCTAGCTTATTGTCTGCAGATTTGCATTGTGATATACCTTGAGGTGGATAAATCAGCGTCAGTCAACTCGACAGAATGCATAACCTAACTCCACCAACAAACAACGATGATAAGGTCCCATTAAGTGAACAACAGCTCTTTGCATCCTGCTCGATAACAAGATTTTTCTACAGAGATTGCACAATTCGAATGTGTGCGCAGCAACTTAAAACTGACAGAAGAGTGCATGCCTAGAAATGCTAGTTTGCATAAAAGTTTCCCTCAAGAGACTCTCAGTATTTATTTGCTTTTGGATGTAACAATGATTGACATCTTTCCACAAACTAAGAGATGTTTGATAAACAACCAGTATCATGTTAATCCCATTGCAATTGCTCCTGTGCAATTTCTCATTGCCTCGAATTGTGTGGAAACAGAATTTTAACTGCATAAACACTATGCTTACAGTAACTGTTTCACTCGATGAAAAGCAGCGTTTTATACAAATTTTTCACTTTCTTCGAACTTATATAGTCCTTGCGAGTTATTGTTTGCATTTGACATCTTAAATAAGATTTAAATATTATTAGTTATGCTGTGTAATTTACTAATCTATCATACAGTGATTTTACAGCATACAGTTTTTCCATGCAGTCAAACTATTTACTTTTTACTTTATTAGAACTTTGTTGTTCGGGACAGACAATCTTTTTCCTGGAAACAATTCTTATCGTTTATGATTCAAGTTAAAATTCTGCTGAGGAGTTTCACTTAGTTTTGGTACAATAATTTGGTATATTTTGGTGTTAGATACTAATGTCTTTACTGTGACTTATGTTATAGAACAACATGTGAATCATTTAAACTGTTCACACGGTTTTGTTTCACTAACCAAACTTCCATATTCATTCCCATCTAACCCCCTCCATCTCTTCCCGATGCCTGGATCCTCCCAGACCTTTGAAGAGGAAATAGTGGATGATTACATCACCGGTGTTGAACAGGTCGGGGCGGACCCCACCGTTGCCGTGGAAACCGCTGCCCCAGTGGAAACCGAAGAGAAGGTGGATCCTGCCACTGACGTCTACGAGTTCAAGGAATACGACCTGAAGGAATATGACAACAAAGAGTTTGTCGATAAGCCATACGAATATGGTGATTATGGCGAATACGGCCCGACTGACACCAAGCCCACATCAACATACGAGGAAGAGTTTGGTCCTGGTGTACCAGCGGAGACAGACTTCAGAGAAAGCAGCGTAAGTACTGGAGTGGTTCGGATGGGGGGTGGGGGGGGGGGGGGGGGGGGGGGGGGGGGGGGGTGGAGTACTGAAATTGTGGTCAGGAATGTGGAAAGATGCTGGTGGCATTTCTTTGATGGGTTGTTTGTGGTGCACATTTAGTTTGTTGTTTCTCATGGTATTGGGTTATAGCTTGGAGCTTTCTGTGTGCACATGCAGCAAACACAAATACACCAGTGAACACAAGCGTACACCCTGTCGATCTAAGTCTCCTACAGATAAACAGATGTCAACCCATCTGTCAGTGCATTCATGCCCTCCATAACCTCTAGGCCTCAGTGACCTCTGCTGTTTATCAAAGAGATGCTCCGCCCTGTGTTATCCCACCAGTGATCTGTTTAAACTACCTGATGACTAACTAAGTCATTTGCAAATGTTTTTTTTCATCAAATCCATCAAGATCCATTTTTTTAAAACTAGACAGCAATATCTGCTGACTAGTGTCTACCATGGCTTGCTTCCAGCCCTTCTTCCTTGCCTCAGGATCCAGATTCTCAGAGACAGGAAGAGACACAGTCCCTGTCTGGATGTTGGCCTGCCATCTGTCTGTTTTTGGTTAAACTGAACCACTCTATTAGAGCTCTCCACTTTAAAACACTCAGGACACCGCAGCCCTTACTATGACTTTAAAAAAAAAGAGTTAGCTCTTCAGGCTAAACTGTGACAATCTAGTTGGTTTTTGGACACACTGCTGTAGGTGGTTTGTGAATTCCTCTCATGTGAAGTCATTGTATGGATAGTGTCAGGTGACGACCTCTGTGCTTGTGCACAGTTGGGGTCTTTTTTGCAGTTCCTGGCTTTAAGAAAGCTTAATAAGTAGGAGTCAGGCCAAAGTCTAAATTATAGCTTCTTGAAAAATGAGTCTTGAGGTTTATTTTTCCAGAAGCATAAAAAAATTGCTTCTCGACTTGTCAACTACATAAATCATGTAGAGCACTAGTCAGCATTTTGCTGAGCTTTTCTTAGCTGTTTTGTTGGTGTATTAAGTAACCTCTATAAAAGAGAAGACACCCAACAGGACGGGACATCTGCTGCTACTCACTATCCTCAGAATTTCCATTTTTGGTTTTCAGACTATGGGTGCTCTGACTTATAAATGTCTGTCCTCTTCCTGTATAAAAGCTCACCCAGTCTCTTTGATATCCATAGGTGACTGGAGGTCAAAGTTACCTGGGAGAAAAAGGAGAGAAAGGTGAACCTGCCGTCATTGAGCCAGTAAGTGATGCCTTAGGGTGTTTTTATGAAATGTCATGAATCTAAACTTAATATCTCACTTTTAAGAAGGAAATGCAAGCTTTCTTCAAGACATTGAAATGTTTAGGAATATTTAAAATTTCCCTATATAACTTGCATGCTAACATGTACTTCCTTGCAGTTGTTCATGTTAGAAATATCAATTATCTATCTATCTATCTATCTATCTATCTATCTAAACTTTTCTAGCTTCCTATTTAATGAGTTAGCTAGCGAGCTATGGAACAGCAAGCAAGACAACTTGATGTAATGGCGTAATTTGCTTAAAGCTTGCATGCTAGTTAGCTTTCTCAACACTGACACAACAAACAAAAAACAAACAAAAAACACAAAACATTTAAAGAGAAACTCTTTCTTATTTAGTAATTTAGGTTTTATTATTAGATTTATTTAATTTTGATTTGTTTTTAGTTTCACTGTCACTGGATTTAATGAGAAGGATGTTTATTTCACCAAAAGTAGTTAACAACCAAGACTATCTTCCCTCCTGATGATTAAAGACATCTTTGATCTTATTTGTCTACACAAAATCCAACAGTACACTGTTTTTCAAAGAGTAAAGCTATACAATTCACCACTACAGGCTAAACATTGACTGAAATAGCAGCTGCAGTTAACGTCTCTCCTCCCATACCATATGTACCACCACAGGCTCTCCTCCAAATCTTTTACCACACACCCTCATTATAGAAGAGAACATCAGATAGCTGAGGCATTGTTAACATCTTGTGCTTGTAGCTATAAGTAAACTCTTCAACCTCAAACGCAAAGCAACCATTAGCTCTCATTTTCCTCACATTCTCCATTGCCTGTGGATTCACAGGCTGCTCTATAATGCTACTGTATCCACTTTTTCCTTTTTCAGGGGATGCTTATAGAAGGACCCCAAGGAGCTCCCGGCCAAGCAGTGAGTATCACGTTCTCCCACCCTCCTGTCTGCCTTCCACAGATGGAGAACAGCTAAAGAGGGAAAAAATGTCTTTATGGAAAGAGCATCAGCCCTGATCGCCAGTGAAGCTTGAGTTGGGAGAGACAGTCAAAATGTGTATTTGTGCGTGAATGTGTACCTCTGTGTGTGTGTGTGTGTGTGAGAGAGAGAGAGAGTGCAGGAGAGAGAAAGAAGGGGGGGTCTTGGGGTCTGTTTTATTTTGAAGCTTATTTCTTTTTGAACCCGTGTCTTTGCGTCTGTCTTTGTTGGCCTATGCACAGGAAGTATTGGGCTGTCTGTGGTGGGAATGCTGGTTAGCAGAAGTGTGGGGTATAATATTCTAAGTGTATGTGCGTCTGTGTGTGTGTGTGTAATCTCTCAGGGTCTTCCTGGTACCTCAGGATTGCAGGGTCCCCCAGGTCCCGCAGGAGATCACGGAGAGAGGGTGAGTAAAAGTTGGCCTTGTTTCACAGCTGATAACAGATGTTTCTGAAAAGATCTGCCACTCGTTCTCTGTTCACTGTTTTACATTAAAAATGAAACAAAACATTTTACTTGACTAAAAGGTGAATTTCCCATATTTGATCCCACATATGTTGTTTATGCACCAAAACATTTTCTTATTTTCTATTGCTAGAAGTGCTCAAACACATACCATAATACTATCACAACTTTAGCTTTTCATTCTACTTATGGAGTTATGGGAGTCAGAATATAATTTAATGTATTCAGAACTTATTTTTGTCTGTACTTCTTAATTTGAGAGCTGTGAAAAACTATCCAAAGTCCATAAAATGAATAATACAATTGGACTCAGCTTACTGCTGCAGCAGCAGTAGGGGGGATTAGCAAAGACTGGTGCAGGGAAATTAGATGCCCATAAACTGTCAATATACCAGCAAAGAGAAGTTCTGGGAACCAGCTGGGTTGTTAATGCTACAGAACTTGTGAGCAGTTCAAGGAGTTTGCTATAAAATATGTAGAAGCCTAGAGTTTCTCAAAACTTTTTTTTTTCCCCCCGCCACCGTGGGATTCCTCTCCTTTACTTGATTGATTGGATGACACAGACTAAGTGCCTGTCCCCTCCAGAAGGCTGGATGTCAGCTTGTTTTCCCCAAACGTGATGCCCCACACCCCTCTTTCATCGCCCTCTTTGCACATCTATTTGGTCTCTCTCTCTCTCTCTCTCTCTCTCTCTCTCTCTCTCTCTCTCTCTCTCTCTCTCTCTTTAACCCTTTAATTGCCAACCAAAAATACCTCAACAGGCCTCCCCCAGTATGACCAGCAGACATCACCCGTACAAAAGGCTTATTGTTCCACATAGTGAAGGTGATCAAAAGAAAAATATTTGTTGCTCAAAAAGTCTCTCCCCCTCCCTTCATTTCCTCCCATGAGAAGCCGTCCTGCTGAGGATTGACAGAGGGATTAAAAGTGTCTCGTTTCTGAAACGTTGTGGTTTTTCCCTTGCGTAGTATCCGCCTTAACATTTGATCGGCTCATTTCTCTCGTAATCACCGTCTCCCTCTTTTCCACTCAAACATCACTTTCTCAGCCACGTAACGGCGTCATTAACGCTAGATGTCGCTCTATGAAGGGTATTTATCACCTCGTGGAAAAAGGAGATGGGAACACATGGCATCAATTTTAGCCAGCAGTCTTGAGATTTCAGAACATGACAAGACTGTTAAATAGATTCTGGAAACACTGGGCACTACTCCCTCTTCAGCTTCTTGTATACCATCTTTTGTCTTTATTAAATCAAAATCTAGTCTCTGTTGTTATTCAGCTGTCTATTTGTTTTACTCCATATGCCAACGTTTCATGCCATGATTTGCTTTGGCTCCTTTGATGCACATTAGTTTGTCAGGGGAAAGTCTAAAAAAAAACTAAAAAAAACTTTTGGTCCAATAAAAAAGGTATATGTTTAGAATACATCTGTTAAAATAGCTGCAAAGAAGAGTTTTGGCCTGTGCTAAACTTCTGTTTAGGAAAAGTTGGTCCTTTGACCTTTTATGCCAACTAATGATTCTAACATCCTACTATTTACATTCTTAAAGTTAGAGTCTTTTTAAACATGTTTACATAGTAATTTTTATATATATAGTATATATAGATAGATATAGTTCCCCTTAGACATTATTAAACATGAATGTAGTCTCAGGGGCATCACCGATTGGTTTGTAAAAAGGCATCACGAGGCCCAACGATGGCAGTCGCACTTATTGGAAATGCTGACTCCACATAACTTTTGATGAGACTAGAAACAAAGACGTGGAGTTGAGGCGAACCTTAAGCCTCCTGGCAAACAGCTACAACATACCCACTTGTCAATCGACTACTTATTAAGATGTATGCATGCCTTAATACAATCAAAACTGATGCGTTAGGGGAAAAACTAAGAAGGAACTAAACTAACTCCCCTCCACCGCCAAAAACGTCTTATGAACCAGGCTGTAAACATGTTTCTGTCTGCTGTAAAAGTTATCACTAAGAATAGAAAATCAACATTTCCCTTTAATTCTATGATTATTATCTCACAGGGTCATCCTTGGCTGTGTGTTTTCATTCCTACAATAAAGACAGTGCTATCCAGCAGGCAACATCCCAAAACCATCTTAATGGAAAAACCCAGTTTTTGCTTTTACTCATTGAACCCTCCCTGTCTGATTCTTCTCAGCAGGATTAGTCTGCTAACTATTTAAAATAAACAACATCAGCGTAGGGCAGTACCTTCCTGTTAAAACTATTGTTGATGAAGAAGTGCTTTCCTGTGAACACATTAGATTTTGATGTTTGTTAGTACTGTTATCACTTTATTCTTCATTGTCAATGTGCACTGCAGCACCAGGGGAGTTAAATCAAATTGTTGATTTATAGAAATAAACAAGATTTGTTAGTTCACCGTGTCTAATCAATTGCTGAGACAACAAATAAAAGCCAATAATTAAATTCAATAATTACAATATGTGTATGTTCACAACAATAATGTATAAGCCCTTTTGTAGTAATAATGACTTTTTACAAAACGACTGACCTAAAGAATATTGGTGTTCTTAAACATGCAATATTACATGATATCTGTGTTAAGAGTAAAAAAAATCAACTCTCTCCCTCTGTTGTTGCTCCAGGGTCCTCCAGGGCGTCCTGGTATTCCTGGTTCAGACGGTGTCCCTGGTCCTCCAGGTACCATTCTGATGCTTCCAGTAAGTCCTGCCGCTTTCCACAATGCCATCTGTCCTATTTCCCCTCGCATACTGTACACCCTTCATCTCAAGCACACGCCGCTGAACTTACTTCATTTAGTCAGTTTACCTCATAGCATCACCAGCAGGCCAAGGGATCACAACCTTATTTTCTTTGGGTAACAAATCACTTACCTTGTAAATGTCAGCCAGTGCAACGGAGTGGAACCAGTGACTGAGGCTTTGAAAGGCCCAGTGGCACATATTTGTCTGTGTGAGCTGCCTGCGATTGTGTGCCAGCGAGTGTTTGTGGGAATGTGTGTGTGGGAATGTGTGTGTGTGTGTGTGTGTGTGTGTGTGTGTGTGTGTGTGTGTGTGTGTGTGTGTGTGTGTGTGTGTGTGTGTGTGTGTGTGTGTGATACTTGGTGACAGCTTTACAGGCTTAACTAAGAAAAAGGTTTGAACAAACTCACCAGGGGAGACCAAATGATGTCTCACTCTGTAAAAAGAGACAAGTGAATTTGTGTTTAACTGTGTTTCTTGTTTTGTTTTGTGGTTCACAGTTCCGTGCTGGTGGTGAGTCACACAAGGGGCCTGTGGTTTCAGCCCAGGAAGCTCAGGCTCAGGCCATCCTTTCTCAGGCTAGGGTAAGTTTGTGTGCTAAAAGTGATCCCCAATGTGATCCTTCCCCGTTTAGAGGAACTTTTACAACGTTTTTCTACATCTCCATCCTGTCTCATTAGCTGTAATTTTACTCTAACAAAAATCCAATGAATGATGGAAGGAGGAATCCATATTGACAAGTCCCACTCCCTCTATAAATCTTCTTAATTCTTAAATATGGACCCGTGTTAGGTTGGGTAGTATATAAAAACAGACCAGATGTTCACACTCACTCAGGGGTCCTGATAACCATAGCAGCGTTGAAAAACAGGTTGAATTATGTGGCTGTAAGCAAGGTGTGATCTAAAGCAGAACACATGGAAATAATTATGAGTCGCACCAACACTCAATATTCACACATTCACAACACTCTATGGAGCTGGACGGCTGCCAGAACTGCTGAACTGCTGTTTAGTAATGTCTTGAAAGCACTTGTCACCTTTCTATATTTGTCCTCGGTGCCAGAGGTTTGGCCCGAGAGAGGAAAAAAAAGAAGAAAAAAAAACATGGCAGAAGTTGTACTTTTTTTTATTGTTTAAAGGAACCAAAGGGACAAAATTGTTGATCTTGTTAAACTATTTGATTCTTTTTATTTTATTTAGGAAATGTTACCTCATGCTGTACCTGCAGTTATCCGCCACAATTCCAATATGCTAACTTATACGAGCAATTTGGCCTTAAATGTAGCTCAGGGCATAAATTGCTTTCCTTTTTAAATGAGCAAATTCGCTCATTCTCTAATCAGGCTGCATATAAATTCCAGACAACGTTGTTGGCAGATGAAGAAAAAAGACCAGAGTGGTGTGAAACCCTGAAACAAGAACTAAGTAAAGTTTGCACATTATGAGCTTCCTCGCTATAAAAAAAAATTAATTAGAAGCTTTATTGATCGTGTTTTCTTTTCTTAATACCCTTTGATTTTAAACTCAGTCAGTGGAATTCATGTTACATCACTTAAAATAACAAGGATTACACAAAGCATATAATATCCATACTAGATTTTTTTATACTTTAATACACAGACACCTTATGCTGATCACTCGTTTCTCTTAAGCTATATATATTTACTGTTTTCTTTTGTTTTTCTCATTTTTGCTGTTTTTTTGTCGTTCACTTAGTTTGTCTTTTCCAGTGTTGCAGGTCATCATATCTCTGCATTATCATGTCATGGTTTATCCATCCCTTTCCCTTTACCCCCTTTCCTTGAACACGCAACATAAATAATACAAAATAAGGTATCCCTGAAACAATGTGAATCTGTTCATGATGCTTCTTGATTTTGTGATAAATAAAATCTATTAATTTTATTGTCAGAAGTTTGTGAAGTTGTCGTCCTCATATTACTTCCCCTGGTTACTAAAACATTGATGACTGACCAGTGTTGTACTTGTCCATCTCATCCACAGCTGGCTATGAGAGGTCCTCCAGGTCCAGCAGGCATGGCAGGAAGATCTGGTCCTGTGGTGAGTTTTTTTTATTTTATTTTATTTTTTAAAAAGCATTCTTCACACACACACACTAACACACAAACACGACTGACCTAATTCATGTAACACCCATTCATTTCACAGTTGAAGAAAAACACATTTGGCAATTAGTGCTCTTTCCTGTTCAAGCTTCCCCGAGCGTTTTATCATTTCCCATCATGCACCCTTACACACGCATGCACTCAGCCATGCAGACAACACACTCTTCCTGTCCCTCTGTGAACACATTTAACTGTTAGAAAACAGAATCACTTTATTGACATATTCCACATTATCTGTGGCTGAAGCTTTCCTCTTGTTTGGGGAGTGTCTTCCACGCAACCCCTGCCTCCATGGCGTTCTCGATCAACAAATGAATCTCACACCAATCCTATTAAGTCTTTGATGTTGGAGGAGTTTTTTTATACGCATATGAAGATGTTCAAGAGAGTCTTTCTTTATTTTGTATTTTAACATCCAAGTTTCAAATCTTAAATTTTCTCAGTCTGGATTTGATCACTAGGCAAACCGTGATTATTTCCAGTTCTTCAGCTTTTTGTGCCGACATGTTCATTCGCTATTTTTACGTCTATTTTTCATAGGGAGGTCCTGGAGCTTCTGGTCTTAAAGGTGACAGTGGCGATTCTGGACCACAGGTGAGAAGAGATTTTTTTTTTTGTCTCACAGGGAACCTATTTCCTTTTGCACATTTCTTCACTTTATATATTGAAACATGTTGCAGTTCTTCCACTGCTGTGTCAGTCTACAGCAGGTTTTCTGCTTTGTTCATTAAAACAATCATAAAATGTTATTTATGTTTGTCTCCATAGGGACCCAGAGGTCTCCAGGGTCCTACTGGTGTACCAGGAAAAGCAGGAAAGAGGGTAAGATTTCTTTCCAATGAAGCTCAACCAAAAGACTTTATTTTCTTATTGATTCATCTCCAGATTTGAAACAGAAGATTATGTTTGGATTCACCCAAATTGTAATAAATCACGCCAATAAGATCAATGCTGCATTCGCCCAAAAGAAAAGAGTCTACTCTCAAACATGGCTTGATTTCACCGAAGTCAGCTGTTCTCAATAAGGGTCTGTGCATGATTTCTAATCAATAGAGTCATGTTTGTTTAACTCTAAACTAGTTAGAACAATATAGCGTCTCTTCTATAGCCATCTGAGATAATTGAATATACTTCTATTGTGATCTGTGTGTGTCTTTCAGGGTCGTAATGGCGCTGATGGGGCTCGAGGAATGCCAGGCGAGGCAGGGCCAAAGGTAAAGCACTCACCAAGAAGCCAGTGAGAGTCAGTTGGATGCTTTTGAAAAAGGCTGCTTATCCCAAAGTGAGTGATGGAGCTAACCCTTATTCTTCTGTCCCTATTCAGGGTGACAGAGGTTTCGATGGCCTCCCCGGTCTTCCCGGAGAGAAAGGTCACAGAGTAAGTATGATGAGAGGTTATCTGTCTCCAAAAATAAGATCTGCAGTCTCTAATTTCTTACACACATTATCCTCATTGATCACAGACCTAGTCCTCTACAGTAGCATCAGGACTGATACGCCGGTTCAAAAGGCCACCTCCCATTCGTCTTCTGTGCAGATTTCTGACTCATTAGGACGTTTGACCCACTTGTAAAAAAAAAGGGTTGGACTGACTCCAGACCCACTTGGGCTGCATTTAGCCCGGCATGGAGAGCTGAGTTTGGTGTTTGTGGAATTTAAGCGGGCATATAAGAACCCAAAGAGTGAGAGGACGGAGATCACAGAGTGGTATTTCTAGACGGGCTGTCCTGCCTTATCCTATACTGAGTAATTACAGGGCCACCAGAGGTAGGCCAGTCCTTATAGAACACTAAAAATAGTGGAAACCACATAGGTCCATGCCAATTGTGGTGACTATGCCTACTGTAGATTACAGGCGCTCTGGGTGCCATTTTTCATTTCTGTCTTTTATAAATCTGTATATTTAACCCATATTATTAAAAAAATAAATGACTGCATGTTGAGTCTCTTGTGACCTGCCCCTCCTCCTCTTTGATGATATTTCCGTTTCCTTCAATCTCGTCTCTGCAGGGAGAACTAGGATCTACAGGTCCTCCAGGATCTCCAGGAGAGGATGGCCCCCGAGTGAGTGGCACATCCACAACCTCGTCACTTTACTCTTGTTCTTAAACGTCTGGAAGATAACTCTGCATTCTTTGAAAACTCACTCTTTCTCTTTCTCTCCAAAGGGAGAAGACGGCCAGGTTGGACAGAGAGGTGTGGCTGGAGAGGGTGTAAGTGAATTTAAGTACTAGCTGGCAAACGATTGTAAAACTGCATCCTTCTTAATCAGGAAAAAAGATTAGATTATAATGAATATATGTCCATCATGTTACTTAGTTCATCTGCTACCACAGGCTCCACCCCCCTTCATTCCTTCCTCTTCATTCGTTTTAGCGATTATTCACACAGCCTAATGAAGTGACATTCCTCTCTGCAAGGACCGATGCGTTTGTAATCTCAACCTTGCCAAGAGAGAATGGCTCTGAATAAGCGATCAGAAAATAGAACTTGTAAACGTGCGTTTTACTCTCATTACCCTCGAGAAACTGACTTAGTCCGCTTGGTTCTGTCCTAATGGGCCGTAGAGTTGCATGAGAAGTGGTAACCCCCTCTCATACTCAAAATAACATTGTCCTTTTAAAGAAATAGTTGCACAGCATTTCATCATGCAGAGTGTCCATACAATAATGGAGCACAGTCATTGCAGTGAGTTAATGTGCTTAAGATGTTAAGATAAAAAAAAAACCTTTTTATGCTTATTCCCTGAAATGCACCTGCAGTTACTGTAAATGACCACAGGGGGGCAGTGTTTCACACACGTTTGTCAAACCAGATTTAGGGATGCACAGAATGTTCAGCCAGTGTTTTATTGCCTGCCTATTTCTGAAAAGAGCACACTGTTTCAGACAGTCACTTGAAAATACTACCTGTTTATGTGTCTTCATAGGATTTAATTTTGCATCCTTTTGTCCTAAAACACAGGGTCCTCGTGGTCTGCTTGGCCCCAGAGGGACTGCAGGTCCTGGTGGACAGCGTGTAAGTACACCCTACACCTCCTACCTATACACGTTAATACTCATTTGGTATTTTTTGTAATTTCTTTTATGGCTCAATAAGATGGCTTCTTTATAGTTCCTGTGAGGAGTTTTTAACTGGTTATGAAACTGACTGAGATTTATACTGAAGCCTCTTTATGACCTACAAAAGCAAATAAGACCGTCAGTGATAAAACTTTTGGTATTGTAATTTTGGAAGCCTGTTACCGCTGCCAGGTAGGTGTCAAACTTTGTTTTTTTTAATTTTCCACATCACAGATTCAGAAAAAGCGATACGTTTGACTGTTTAAAGAGAAGCAGGGGAAGATATTTTCTCAGAAATCACCTATGCATGTACAGGACATAATCAGCAAAGAAATAGGAGATTCTTTTTTGTCCACAGGGGGAACAAAAGGTTCCTCTCAGGAGCTTTAATTGTGCAAATTCTGATCTTTTCAGGGTCTTCCTGGAATCGATGGACAAGCTGGTCCTAAAGGAAACATGGTGAGACATTTTTGCTTTACAAATACTCCAACATTTCGCGAACACGTTTTTTAAGATGAGAATGTGAGAAAGGGAGTTTTCCTGCCAACATATGTCAAGACCACCTAAGCAATCAAGGGCGTAATCCAGCCTGCCTGAGGCTGATTGCAGGTCAGTGACCTTGTAACCCTGGGTAACATGAAAAGAATGGGGTTCAAAGATCATTGGCTGATTACAGATGTTAGATGGAGGGAGTGTCTTATCATAGCTGACAGATCAGACCGTGATGAAGACGTCTTTTTTTAGCAGAAAGGGCTGAAACAGTGTAAGCCTGTCTGAGAGTGGTGGTCCCTTTATGCACGCTGCATCCCAGAGGGGTCTCAGTGGGACGACTGAATGGGAATAACAGATCATCGAGTCAGGACAGCTGGACAAGCCCACACGTTGTCTGTGGTCACTGAATCACTGAGTTAAAGAAATAAGCAGTTGTTTGAAAGCAGGAACACAGGACAATAGGAACATGCTTCTTTTGAATTCCTCTGAGGATAGTCTTGATGACGGAGTTAGGGATACTCCATGCAATTTATTTCCCTGAGGATTAAACAAAAACTTTAACTCAGACTAGTCCCCCTCGTGTAAAATAAATAAAACACTTAGACAGCAGGCACACTTTCGCACATTTAGTTTAACATGGCAGTTCATCACATTCTTCAGTAATGGCATTTACAGCTTTTTTAAATGCTGCGGAAATGTGTGGCACTCAGTGACGGACATCGCTCTGTGGATTAATACAATGTCACTTTGGTTTGCCAAGCGTGGCTAACAGTAGCATCGCTAGCACCTCCGACCTTCAGTACTCGTTGCAGGTTAACATCTGCATGTCTGCGTTGAATTTGATTAGGCAATGCTCGGGTTGAATGCTAGTTTACTGTCCTCTGTGCTGGTTTACATCCAGGCAGTAGAGCTGTGAGAGCAGGTCCATTAACCAGAGCTACAGCCCCTACTAGTGGCGGGTGGCTGCGTTACAGCTTAATTACAACATGTAACCAGCATTGTGTGCCTACATTATACAAACATGCATCATTTGTTTAACTGACTAGTAATTCTGGTGCTGACTCTGAGAATGTTTAATCACTTAGTTGACTAATCACAGACACCTCTAAGTCAGGATATTCTGTCAATCAAAGCACAACACTTGAAAGTCGTATTAGAGCCTCAGAAAGGGTACATGTATGAATCTTTGAGGCAACACTCCAATGTCTTCCCCTGACCACACGTGTATCTTAGATGGCTGCTCAAATTTGCCTTTTCCGCACTGAAAGAAAACAACGACAGCAGTTGGGCAACCTAAACCTCTCTGAATCCAGCTTTTGTATTTAGTGTTTGTTGTAACAGCTGGAGCCGTCTGCGTCACAAGGGCTCTTGTCTTGTTTTTTGTATATTTTTGGTTTGTGACACACGAATACCAAACAGCCCACCATTCAAGTTAGTCTCATTAGCTTTAATCCATACCCAGATGGTCTGTAGCCCAACAGAATGTACTCAAAGAAAGCTGCGTTTCAGAGCCAAACTTGTGACCAGACGTCAAAATTTTTTCCAGGTGGATTTGATTGGACTTAACTTTGGATAAGGCCAGAATATAGACAGCTCTGTCTGCCACATGAGCCAGCGTATCACATTTCTCCTCGGTGTTTGCACCTTTTTGTTTCACATTCTTGACATAGATTTGATAAAGCCAATTCAACAATCTCTCCAAGCAAGGTCAGACAATGATTTCCGTGACATCAGAAGCATAGTTTTGATGTTGAAAAAGGACATTTTCTCCTTAACTTCATGTGAAGACAGTTTTTCCTCAATGTCTTTATCTTTAGATTTAATCAGCCTTTGTCTCGGTCATCTAAATTATCTGAATTCTTGGACAATCTCGTTCTTTTTTCTCATCTAATAGAGACAAACAGAGGGGAACAATTGTACATATTAATTAGATTTCCTCTCTTTCTTTTGTTTTGAACAGGGTCCACAAGGAGAGTCAGGGCCTCCTGGACAGCAGGGTTTGCCTGGTCCACATGTAAGTTTCATTTTTCTCTTCCTCTTTCTTTCCATTGCTCTTTTTTTTTCTAACTTTATCTGATCTCCTTAATTATGTCCCCTTCCCCCCCCCGCTCTCTCTTCTCTTGGCATGCACCACCCTCCTTAGCTTTTCTTTAAAACAGGTAAAGCTTTGAACTCTTTGCACACCTTTTTTTTTCTAAATCAAAATTTTTTTCCTTATTCTTTTTCTTCATCCTTTGTTACATATGTGGTCACAACTCATTTAGGAAATTCCACAAATATAAAAACCCCCCAAAATAGAGTGAGAACTTCACGAGTGTTCGCTCAAATTTTATGTTTCTCTGCGGTCACAAAGAAAGAAAAACACCCTCCCTTGTCCTGCTGAGACGGGACATGATGTACCGATTTGATAGCACGTAACACGATTACATTTAACAGTTGGTGGCAAAGTCAAATATATTCCATTTGAAAGTCATATTTAATACAAAACAGTACACCCGAGATTGTAGCCAGGGATAAGTGACCACTGCCAGGTGAGATTTTCAGTCCTGCTGACGCTCAAAGGACAGGATGGCGTCATTCATCTGGAAAGTCTTAGCAGGAAACCTGTCCTGATGGTGTGCAGGTTGGATGAATAGCTCCAGTTGGGCTGTACCTGGCCTGAGGAATAGAAAAAACAACATAGCACACTTATTAGAGCTGTTAATAACCTCTTTTTTTAATTCTTCTTCATTGGGTGGATTTAAATGAAGCCTGCAGGATGTGTGTCTTTGAAATGACTCCTGGAAAAGATTGAGCCTCCCTTTGCACAGATGAATGAACACCTGAATAAGCAGCATGAGCAGCTTAAGAGCAAAACAATAAACGGTTGAAGGAGTAGAAGGAATACATAAAAAAATATATGCAAATGTCAAATACCCGCCACCTAAATGACGGAATATGCTTTCCAAAAAGTGAACACAACAGGTGTTCTTTCCCCCCAAACTGTTCACTTTTTATCACCACCCAGTTTGACGGAAAAGGCTGCATTTGTGTGACTGCTTTTCTAACAGACTTTTCTCCACACTCTTTCAGGGTCTCGTTGGTCCTCAGGGTCCGATCGGTCCTCCTGGTGAAAAAGTAAGTAGAAAGAAGGGGAGGAACCCAATCACCCCTTCAGTCCTCCCACCACAACTCTGCTGCATCGATAAGTGAACACTTCAGTCAGGAGCTCATAAGTGATTCAGCAGAAACGCTGCCGTCTGAGGTTATAGGCTTTTACTGGCTTCTCTGAGGGCTTAAACACACAGAAATGACCTCTCTCTCTCTCTCTCTCTCTCTCTCTCTCTCTCTCTCTCGCTCTGTCTCTCTTACACACACACCAGACACACACATGCTATCTACATAAAACCAAAAAAATATCTTCTGCTCAGGCACTTATTTCACCTTTCTTGAAAAAGTTTTGTTAATGATTTTGTGGATATTCAATAATATTTTAAGAAGATGCTTTTCGGTTGTTTCGTGGATGACCAGGGATCGAATCAATTGTGGACTGTCTTGTCTCTGTTTTTATATCTGTCTGTTTGTCTGTCTGTTTGTCTGTCTGTGTGTCTGTCTGTCTGTCTGTCTGTCTGTCTGTCTGTCTGTGTATTTATCACGTATGTTCTCTTTGTAGGGACCTCACGGGAAACAGGGATTGGCTGGCCTTGGTGGTGCTGACGGCCCTCCTGTATGTGACACTTGTTTTCTTTTTTACATCATTCAATCAAAAAGAACACAAACTGACAAGATGTCGCTAAGCTAACCATCATGGACTTCCTTTTATAGGGTCACCCTGGAAAAGAAGGTCCTGCAGGAGAGAAGGGAACAGTTGTAAGTATAATGTGGATTCATAGTTTATTTGATTTTTAAAGAAAGGTTTATAATTGAAAAGATTCACGAACAGTTTGAGAGAAAAGGCAGGTTCAATCAGACTTCGCAAATACTTGAAATGATCATTGAGTTAGCCCAAAAAGTGTGCCAGGAGGTTGAGGTTTAATTTTGCAGCATTATTAAGATGATTTTCTTTAAGCTTCTTCAGAAATGAACAAAAAGTAAATTTGTCGACTTCTTCTTTCCTCTGATTGGCTTATGGGTAATATTCGGTCCAAGACCTCTTTTAAAAAAAAAAATCAACCAGCTCAAATGTAGTTGTAAACCTACTTTGCTTATGATTTGGATATGTTCACTTTCAGCTTTCCATTTTTTTTTTTTCAAGCTGTTTGTTGTGCAGTTCTGACTATAAAGACTATGAGACTCTTGGGTGCAGTTTTTCACTACCTGATGGCGAGTTTCTCAGGATAGATCTCAGAGGCTGGAGGTAGAAAGCACTGAGCTTACATGCAGCTACCTTGAGATCAAGTCATGCCCGTTATGTCATTTTTTGTTTGGTGATGCGTTGCACAATAATACAATATTCTTATACTGATACTGTAAATGAGATAAGACTTGAAATGCTGCTGTAAGTGTGGCAATTGGAGTAGAATCTGGTGACTTACAAAGGTAGATGTCTGGGTAAAATTCAGTAAAAACGTGGTCGTTGAATGAGACATTTTGAATGTCTTTCCAGCGGAGGCCATAGTCGTCTTTTAATCATCTTGCGAATTGTCTTTTCAACAGTAAAATGCTCGCTGGGTTAGTTTTATACGCTAAGCAGTGAAATCTTAAGGGATACTGTCTGGAGGGTTTACTGTTGGATTAAAAGCTTTGGAAATGATTGAAATAAAAGCAAAAATGTATTGTCAAATGATATAACACAGATGTGACACATTAAAATAAATCTTAATGAATTTTTAGTTTTACTGCAGCAATCCCATGAAACTGTTCTCGATCTTCTAGGGTCATCCTGGTCCTATGGGAACCATCGGCTACCCTGGGCCTCGTGGTGTGAAAGTAAGTTCTTACTTAGTCATACAATACCAGCCCACCATGATTCCATTTCCCCTGTTTTTCATCCTGACTTTTCCCCCTCTCTCTCTCCTCAGGGTGCTGAGGGAATCAGAGGCCTTAAAGGTGGCAAAGGAGAAAAGGTAAACACCTCCCTAGTCTCCCGTTTCCAAACATGATTGACAGATGTCATTGTTCTAACCACTGACAGATCTAGAGTTGCGATCTTACTTAAATGAGGCTCTTTTGGAATCCAGCGAGTGGAAAAAAATCTCTTAAAGGCCAATCAAGTTGTCAGTTAAGCTCTCGTGCCACAAGGCTTTAATGGACTGTGGAACATTTAACCAGAATGAGGCTGTTTGTCGGGCGGTGTCAGGGGACACTGATCTGTTTCTATTGTTTCCTTGGACCGCTGTGGCTGAACGCTGTCTTTTGCAACCTCAGTACCACAGGATTGATTTCCTCTGAACTCGCAGGACTTTTTTAATCTCGTCAAAGATGTTTTAGAGCTCTTCTATCCTGACACTTCTGTCTTACTTTAAATCATTTTGGACTGAGATTTCTCCAATCCAAACTTGCACAATAAGCATATCATAGTTTATTGTGTTGTGATTTATTCTCTTTGTGGTTTCATGCATGAAAGTGTGACACAATGTGCATCAGAAGCCCTCAGCTGACAGATTACGTTTGTGCAACTGCATCCTGATTTTTAACCACCAGATGTCAGTAAAACAACACAGAGAGAAGGAGAGGCAGTGAGGCATATCTTTTCAAAGAGCAAATTCGAATGCTTCATTGAAGTGGCCACTAGGTGACAGTGTTAAACTTTCCTCAGGAGCCCTTGTACTTCTGCCATCCATTAGAGCTTTAAGACTGCAAAGATAAACTTTTGCTGTCATTTTGTCACCAAACTTGTCCATCAGTTCCCCCCCCCCTTTTTGTCCTTTAAAGTATTTTAGGATGCAAACTTTTTCATCTGAATTGATCCATTTTTCCCCGTTTTGTGATACTGTGAAAACGCTCGGCTCTTAACAACGACACCTTTCATCTCTTTCATCTTCAGGGAGAGGATGGATTCCCCGGCTTCAAAGGTGACATGGGTCTCAAGGGTGACAAGGTGAGCAATCGTCTCTGCTGAGAATACAGATGATGAGCAGACGCCGATACACAAACTGCAGCAGCAAAGACAATAACAACTTTTCTTGTTTGTTGTCTTCGTATTAAGGGTGAATCTGGTGTGCTAGGACCAAGAGGAGAGGACGGACCTGAGGGCCCCAAGGGCAAGTCAGGACCCAACGGAGAGTCCGGTTCTATTGGATTAGCTGGAGAGAAGGTGAGTGACCCAGTTCTGCAAAGAGCGAAGTGATTTTCATTTTGATCAATGTGTTTTATTGACGTCCTAAAGTTCAAGCCAAAGTCAATTACATGGGATGATTAGACACAGATGCAATAGAAATGTTTTACAGGGTGATAAGGTTAAAACACACAATTGAATACTCAAATACGACCGGATCCAGTCTGGGTTTCTTTCACTATCCAGGGTTAATAACAGAACGAAAGACTTGTCTGCTATAGTTTTGTAGCTGTCCTGAACTTAAGATTTTCTCCACCTCCCTCCTGCTCCCGAACAAGTCCCCTTTAATTGGCTCATGTTGTCAACACTTCTCCACGGAGCTTTGATCTCTCTGCAGAATATCTTGCTCCGTGTTGCTGCAGTATTTTGTACTCTCAATAAATTAGTATTAAAGGTTACAACAAGATCCAAACACTTCAGATTAAAGGGCTAGAATATGAGTGATGATGTTGAAGAGAGCTAAGGATATTGGAATACTTCAGCAGAGTTTTGTAGAGTTTATAGGCTTGTAACAAAATGTTTTGACTAGATTTGTATCATAAAGGCACAGTAATGATCTCAAACAGGGGGGAGTGTGATGTAAGCCAGTGGTTCTCAACTGGTGGGATGGGACCCATAAGTGGGTCGCGGAACCATTTTCAGTGGGTCGCAAAAATGTGACTGGAAAAAAAGAAAGTGTAAAAAATCTATGAAGCACCCTTAAAACATGTGATATGAGACTTGGATCACAATTTTCATAAAGAAGGTGGTTGTGCATCCTTAGACTAGACCAGTTGAGAACCACTGATGTAAGCTATAATGGTAGTGAAATACTTAAAAACAAACAAAGTCTAAACTTATTCAACATGATTTTCTTTTTATTGATTTAACTTGTATTTGACTCATTGTTTGCCAAGCTGCGGAGCTAATTGTGCCTGGCACAAACCGAGTCATTTAATTCCCCTTCTGATGCTACTTTTGCTGCCTCAGGTCTACACTTGACATTTTGCTGACATCCACGTCCTCATTTGCTTAAAACGAACGTTAACAGTATAGTAGAGGTTTATTTTACCAGCACTGGAGTCACTTGATACATGAAACTATGACGTGACTTTAGTTTCAAATCACACAGGGTTGATACATCAGAATCATGTGCTTTTTCATGACTGTATCTTCACCCTCTGAAATGACCAAAAATGGGCCAGAGTGAAAAGCAGAAAAAGCCTCTGCTCAAATGATGCCATAGTCACAATGTTCATAAACATTGTAATAAAAAAAAAAAAATGTCCCTCACTGGAAGTAAAAGGTTATGGTTACATGTTTATTGCCTTTTGCAATGCTTCAGTGAACTTTTACTGCTTTCAGCAACAATGTCTCAGGCAATACAAAGAGAATTCATCATCTTTGTTTGCTTTGTCTTTGCTCCTTTTTTCTTTTCAGGGCAAACTCGGAGTCCCTGGATTGCCTGGGTACCCTGGGAGACAAGGCCCCAAGGTATGTGATGAGAGTCATAATGAGTTCTGCTGATAAATGCAGAAAAGAAAGTGTTACCGTGCAAAGCTGCTCAGCAAGGAGGTCAGAGGTCAGGGCCAGCTATAGGTGTTCAGTATCTTTGTAAAGGGCAGCGCCTTAGAATAGGTGTTTGTCAGATCAGTAATGAGGAAATACAAAAATAATCTCGGTGTTCATTTACTATACTGGTTTCTGAACGTAGTGTTGTGCTCAGGTTCAGCTGAGTATTATAGACTCTATATAAAAAGTGGACGTAGTGTCTTAGCATAAAAAAAAAGCAATGAGTGCCTGAAGCCTGCATTCTTTATGATTGATTGTATTCTACCTGATGGATAAATTACCCTATTTTTTTTAATGACTTAATCATTTTGCTTATCATCTTACTATCTCGAATGCTAGAAACAAAAAACGCTCATGTTTACATTCGTATTTATAGTCACATAAGATAAGCGAAGGTATGCTTCAGAGCGTAGCTACCTGTGATTGACAAGTTATTACTTTGGCAGCCCTTAAACAAGTATAGAGCTGTAACAATCCACCCTGCTGTCCAAATAAGTTCACTTCTTCCAAAGAAGCAAGATGGCTACAGCAAAGATTTTGAACAAGAGGCCTCAAAGGAAGAGTCCGCAAAGCAATGAGTGACGTCACAGTGGATATTCCCACTTGTTATATGCAGTCTATGACACTTTTACATCACTCAATCAATCAATGAAGCAATCAGTCAATCAATCAAACAATCAATCAATCTTTATTTGTCTAGTGCCAATTCATAACAAGTGTTATCTCAAGACACTTTACAAAAGAGCAGGTTAATAGACCATACTAATTGTTATGTTACAAAAAGCAGGTAAAAGACCTTACGTATTGCTATATTAAAAAGACCCATCTTAATTCATCATGAGTGTAGCACCTTAGCAAAAGAAAAAACTGCCTTTTAACAGGCAGAAATTTACGCAGTGTTTCCTTATAATATTACCTAGAGGAAGCATATATAATATAAAGAGAATTGGTCCAAGCACTGAACCTTGTGGAACTCCATGGCTAACTTTGGTGTGCATAGAGTACGTATCATTAACATGTACATACTGAGATGATCTGATAGATAGGATTTAAACCAACTTATAGCTGTCCCTGTAATTCAAAAGTAATTGTTCTAGTCTCTGTAATAGGATTTGATGGTCAATCGTGTCAAATGCAGCACTAACAGGAGAGCACAACTCGTACATATGTACTGTATTTGTGTATTAATATGGATTTAATATGGATTTCTAATCACAGGATAGCTCAATATATGATATGTTACTATACGATAGGATACGATACATGGCCCATGATAATGATAATGTAACGAAACAGTGACTCTGCGATTATTGGTATATTGCAAGACAATATAATTGAAGACATCCGATGAGCTGAAGAATACAAAACAGCCCAAAAGGGTCAAGTGTAGTATTGATGTACAAGTATTTACTCTCTGCAGTTTCACCTCATGTTTTTTCTTTTCCTGTGAAAATATGTATCTCAAAAAATTGTATCACACAAGTCAGGATGACAACATAATTTGCTGTATTGAAATTTGGTCCCACCCATGGGATTGAGTCCGTCCATGTCCTTCTCATCAACATCCTCTCATGTCGCTTGCTCCCTTTCTATATTCTGCTGACCTGCTGACTAACCTTTCCTCACACAAACACAAACTCAAGCAGGCACCTTCTGTACTCCCGGCCCAACCCCTTACAGAGAGCCTGAGCAGCTCAGTCACCTGCTGGACTCGTCAGCTGTCCGCCCTCCTAAAACTCCAGCCATTATCTAACAGGCTGGCTTTCCTTGCTCCGTAGCGCTGACCACTGTGCCTCATCTCCTCTACGGAGATGTGCTGCTGCAGCTGCTTGCCCTCTGCTGCTGTCAGCACTGACGGCTTGGCAACGGATAGGACGGGTCAGATACACCTACTCCCGCAACATCCTGCTCTGTCTGTTACTGTCAGCAGGGTCTGAGCTCAGCATGGCACGCGGATTAATAAGAGCTCCGGACAAATTGCACAGAGTGAGAGAGATGCAGGGAAATGAGATACGCAGTCAGAAATCCAATAAACACTAACCTTTATGGTATTCGCTACTAGTTGTAGCACTTCTTTTAATTACTGGATATTTTACACTAGAATAAACCTTTACCAGAGGAGGAAGTGTAAAAAGAATATTGATGCACAAAGTCTATTCCTTTGCCTGTATGCATACATCTTTTTAAAAACAAAGGCTGCCCACAGAGGTTCCCAGAGGAGCACGAGATCAGATCGTCTTTTTAGACTATATTCTTCAAAAGAGAAGTTTTTAGACAGAATATAAAGGCATGCTGACTTTGGCATTCAATAACAGTGTTAGTGTTTTCTAAAGCTGCTTTGAAGAGTTTACTTTTCAGGAAAGATTGAGATATATATATATACAGTATTCTCAAATAATGACATCAACTCTTACTTAGAGTATGAAACCGTTTTACCGACTCATATTGAGGATGCTTCCATAAACACAATTCAGTATTATTGTGTTTTTGGAACTTACTTTCTTCTTAAATATATTCTAAGACTTCAAGAGACTGAATCCTGTTAACTCTTTGAGATAGAACAAAATCAAATTGCGCCGCATCATCCATGTTATAGAATGTGACTCGCGCGTCCTCATCAGTGGGTTCAGGGTCAAAGCCCTGCCTCTTTTTGTAGACTTTTACCCCCCCCCGCCACTCCCCACCCACACACACACACACTAAAAATCATCCTATGCATGAATCCCTTCTGTCGGCTGTGTTTTTGGCTGCCGCACCCCATCGCTCTCTGTTAACAGCTTTCCCACGCCGTTAATTCTGGATGCCTGTTTTGCAAAGGCTTCAGAGGACTGTCTTATCTCTGTGGCGCAAGTCAGGCTTGTCCGGCCGCAGCGCTCCTTTCAGTTCACCATAACTGCACCTCTGTGAAAAAAAATTAGGCAGCACAGATCTCCCTTCCTGGCATGCTGTCTGTACAATGTCGGCCTGTTTCACTTCTTTGCAAATTCTGCCCCTTGCTTATGCTGCACAGTATCTCACCTCGTATACATATTATGCATGTGAGCTGTAATGAACACTAGAGATGGGGACTGCATAAGAGGAAACTCAAAACACCCAGACGTGACCTTCCTGTGCAGCCTAGAGAAAGAATTATTGAATACAGATCGCTTGTGGTTTATGCTTATGCAACCTGCTCCTCTTTTTCTCACGACATGTTTGTTTGAATGGCACCATTAGCAAAGCCGGCCAAAGTCCAATAACGAAATTGCTGACGCGTATCAAGTGGGATTTGCTTTTATCCTTCGACTTTTCTTTATTTGCCATTCTTATCATCTTATTACGCTTCCTAACTGTGTTGACAACCTAACAGCACCTCCGTCTGTCTCTGCGTCCCAGAATCTCTAAATGTTAAGCAGGAGACTTTCCCTCCTCCAAGGTTACTCCGACTCTAAAGGGTAGCCCTATGACAACAAAATGTCGGCTCCTATACGTCAGGGCTTCACAGCTTCTTTTATTAATTAGCCCCGGTCAGTAAAGCACGAAAAAGAAAGTTGGTATTCTCTCTTCGGCTGCTGTCACAATGTTCCTGGACATGGTAGACGTCTCTTGTTCTATATACTCTCCAGCTCTGTGATGTCTTTTTTTTTTCCCCTCTTTCACTTTTTCTCTCACTTGTCTTGCAGGGCTCCAATGGTTTCAATGGATTCGCCGGGGCAAACGGCGAGAAGGGGGCAAGGGTGAGACACAAAATGCATTATTCTCTATCCTTTTAAATTCATGTACACTCGGTGGTTGTGGGATTTTTTTGTGTGTAGTGGATGGGTTAGATGTATGAATTGTTGAAGAATAGAATAGAATAGATGTTTATTGCCATTTGCACAGGTACAGGACAGTACAGGTACATTGGAATTCTTGTACGTTTCTCCCTGAGTCAGCTTCTACAAAAAAAAGTTAGAATTATATATAAAATAGAATAGCATTGTAAGAAAAAAAGAGTAGAAAAGTACAAAAAAAGTAAAAGTAAAAATAAATAAGTTGTAGTAACAGCTAAGTGATTAAAATAAACTGTACAGAAGTTATACACTGTATTAAAGCAAAGATATAACAAGGGGAACACTGTACAATGAAATTAAAATATAAATAATTTTTCTTATTGCACTTATTATCTCTTAATGCACCTGAGGTTATTGCACACATTTTTTCACATTATATAATTGCACTGTTTTTTGTTTTTAAGGTTAATATTGCACACTTGTATTGCACTGTGAGGTGGTCAACTGTCCATTTAGTCTGTGAGGTGTAGGGGTGAGGTACTTCCTTCCCATCTTAATGTCCTGTGCTACAAGTCTCACAGCAGCAGGGAAAAAGCTGTTGTGGTAGCGGGCCTTGTGGGTGGAGATGCTCTCTGGTCTGAATACTGAGAGGCAGCATGGCTAGAAAGCATAATTCATCATCATGATATTGCCAGATTTTGTTAAATGAAAAAAGTCTCTTACGTTTCATTAGTCTGTTGTTTGACATGAAGAAGATAATGTTTTTAAAAGAAACTTCAGGAAAACATGTGCATGTCAACTCTTCAACAAACTACAGGCCTCATTCACTAATATCTTACTCGTTTTTTCTTTAATTTCTCCTTAAGAAGTCCCTTAGAAAATTCTTGAGCAGATGTGTGAGCCTTTTCTTAAACTGCAGAATAAATCACACGTGTGGTTTTAGATTGTTGAATTCCATGTCCTTGTGTGTTGGAATAATCTTCCTGATTAGTTTCAATGCCAATTTAAGGGCGTGAGACTGCAGGACCATGTGAACACACAGACGTAACACAGATTTTGAAGGAGAAGTTGAGGGTTGTCTGGAATGCCCAGGACTCCAAATGGAAGAAATATTTTAGTTATCCTGAAATCCAGCAGTGATGCTGGAATTGACACCAAAATGGCCCGGGTTTTTGTCCCCAGCAGCGTCAGTAGTAAATATACAAACCGATACATTGGATGACATCACTCTTTCAGATTTTGCTTTCGTCAGAAAAGGACTCTACTAGACTAAGGGTGTCAAATGGCATAGCAGTTAGGTCGCTCCCCATGAGCTGAGGCTATAGTCCTCCAGGCGGATGGTCTGGGTTCAAGTCCGACCTGCGGCTACTTTGCAGCATTTCATTCCCCACTCTCTCTCCTCTCAATTTCCTTCTCTTGTTTGATCTGAAATCTCAGTTTCTAAAAAAATGACAGAGACGGGGACAGAATGACCATATCTCATTATTTATATAAAAAAAGTTCTGTAATATTTTTTTCAGTTAGTATTCTGCATCTCTTCTTCATTAAGGCCACGATCATGAAAACAAGATCCTAAGGATCAAACGCTTACTGTGCTGCATGCTGTGCTGCGCTCATTTTGACCACCACTATCTAGTATCTTTTTTCATGTATTGTTTGTTTCGCAAAGTGTTCAGAGGTTTGATAAATACTTATGATCCAGATCTTGTAAAATCTAGTACTCGTGTTTTATAATCGTGATCTCATTATCAATCAAAAAAAGAATTATGATTATAATTTTTGCCATAATGGAGCAACCCTAGTGTGCGTGAGCTCGCTCGCAAGTTTGTAGAGTCTGTGCTTTGCTAACAACAAATCCTGAATAAGAAAACGTTGAGTCGAAGTGGCTTAAAGATGATATATCGCCTTAAGAACGGTTGGTGAATGAGGCCTTCTGTTAATACACACACGTGTGATTTTGAAAATCGTATCCCGAAGCTGTCTGCCGATATAGAGGCCTTCACTCTTCGTACAAAGCTTTCTACAGGTCTTTGGAACCTTGCTGCAAGGACTTTCTCCCTTCAAGAGTGTAAGTGAGGTCGGCCGCTGATAGTGTGCAATAAAAGCTGTCAGTCCTTTTTCATCACAAAGGTGTTGGCTTTGGTCGAGGTAGGGATTTCACCTTGTAGTTGAACAGAAAAAAGGAACTTCCTCAAAGATTAGTCAAATCAAGCAGGATTGCCTGAAGTATCATGGCTTGTTGTATTATCATTGTAACTTAAGACTTAAGAGCTTGAACCATGAAAAAAAAAAAAGTGCAAAAAGAGAGAGAACATGGGAGTCAAAAATGTATTCAGCTGTGTAACAGTAGAGCGGTCCAGCTGACAAGGGTTACAGATGAAGGGATTTGAGGTTGTGGTTTTTTTTTAGAATAGTGGGGATGGTTATTTACGACAAGACAGGCTCGTCTCTGCTCTGCTCTGCTCTCAGACAGACATGGAGAGGCACACACACACACGCCCCGGCCCCAGCGTGCTACAACTGACAGGTAGTTCAAGCTGTCAAGCGCCTGTGGGTAACCACTTACCGCAGCAATTTGATTATTTATTTTCGTCAAAAGATGCTCAGCCCTCGCTCAAACCCCCCTCAGCATGTCTGTCTGTCTGATGCCTCAGTGTGTTTGTTATTATTGCAGGCTTGCTTTAACTTCTAAAAAAGAAAAAGAAAGAAAAGAAGACACAGAAGAGCTCACATTGCCTGATGGTACAAGGAATGATTCTGTCCTAAATCAAAGCTCTTGTTTTGCTTTCTCAGGGAATCGCCGGCAAACCAGGCCCTGGAGGGCAACGCGGCCCAACGGTAGGCAATTCAACCGTCTGCCAACTCAGCCTGCAGCCCTCCACATAAATTATTTACTGTGTTCAAATGAAAATCTCTTCCATTGTGTAGTCTTGTATGGGCTTCATTTCCCTGTCTTTTGAAGGGGTTATTTACCAGGTGGGGTATTATAGAGACGGAGAGAGAGGGCACAAGACAATAATATCTGCACTTTATATTCTAACTTCTTTGTGTTTGTTAGAGTTTTGTTATCATCTTTTCATTTTAAAATGAATGCTGAAAATGCTGCTTCTTTGTGCTCTATTTCTTACCTATGCTGTGTGTATATATATGTATGTATGTAGGGTCCACGTGGTGGCCGCGGTGCTAGAGGACCAACAGGAAACCCAGGTGCAAAGGTGAGAACCAGGGCTGTTTTCTTTTTAAATTTATAATGGTGGGAATATGTCAACATGCTCGAGATAATTCTGAGAAAGCACGAGAGGGAACAGCACACAGGCACATTCAGAAAATCCCAATCATTTGCTGTGAAATAAACCCTGGAACAATGGAGGTTGATATGCTCACATATGGATTAACATACAGCACACAGTTAGGCTCAGTCTGTCTAATGTAAATCATATGAAGAAGATGTATATCTATGGAATTTACTCTATTTTCCCACAATAGCGAGTACTTTCTGGTAGTATACTCAAGATCTCAACTTTTTACCTGGACATCTCAAGATAACGACGCTAGTTTTTTGTGTGATCACGAGCTAACTTCAGTGTTTTTTTTAGATCTCTTTTTTTTTTTGCTTTCTCCAGATTTTTAGGGCACAACGTTTTTCTCCCAATTTTCTCAGGATAACAGGGAATGTTTTCCCATAAAAGAACAATATGTCTTGTTTTTCAATTCGTTCACAAAAGTCAAGATCCCGTGAAAACAGTGCAAAATCATGACCACAGAAAAAGAGTTCATATAATGAATGGGTTCATGTCTGATAAGGGTTTCTGTTCATATCCGACTAATTTAACATAATTATCTTAAAGTTGTTCAGTTACAAACAAGCTGGCTTTATAGCCACGAATAGGTTTTTATTAACAATTGGTACTTTGCCAGTTTTGACACCATTTCTCTCTCTCTCTCTCTCTCTCTCTCTCTCTCCTCAGGGCACCTCAGGCAATGATGGACCTCCTGGCCCGCCTGGAGAAAGGGTTAGTATCAAATTTATTTTTTTCTTTTATCTGTCCCTCCTGAAAATGTGAAACTTGTGTGCTCTGAGTTAGTGACAGCCAAAGAACACCAGGTGCATTCCACTTTTTAATTTGAATTAAAAGTGAATGAGGTTTATTTATTGAATTAGACTACAGTTGCTGCTGATTTCCAATTTCAAATGAGTAATTATAGGTTTTTATTTAATTTACCTGTAGAGACCAAAATGTCTACATCAAATTACATTTTTGACCCAAAAATTTGAACGTTTATGTCAAATAAATTGGTAAATATTTTCCTACTAATCTTGCCAAGAAAGCTGGATTTGGCAGCTTAATTTGAGTTAATAACAAGTCAACACCACTTTTGTCTCATCGTCTCCTCTCTCTACTCAACTGTATAATGTATTCTTTTCATTTCAGGGCCCTCAAGGACCCCAGGGACCTGTCGGCTTCCCCGGACCTAAAGGACCCAATGTGAGTAGCTCATGTCAAACTGTCTGTGAGTTTGCACCATCCACAACAACTCCATGTTGACACTTTCCTCCAGAGCTTTTCAAATATTAATACACTCGCACGACCCAATGTCTCAAGTTTTATGAACTGTCCACCTGTTTCTTCCCTCCCCCCCCCCACAGGGCCCACCAGGGAAAGACGGGCTGCCCGGCCATCCTGGACAGAGGGGAGAGACGGTGAGTGGGTAGTTTCGTCCATGGATGCATCGCGTCAGGCTGTGTGACCCTGAGCATCATGCATCAGCGCCCACACACTCCCCACTCGCTCTCTTTCACTTCCTCACTTTTCTCACCCTCACAAAGGTTGCAGATAAAATCAGGCAACAAAAGGGGATTACTGTTATAGCATACAAATTGTATTTGTATTGACTTTCAGATATTTTCGGGGAAAAACATATAGAACATAACAGAAATATTTTCCTTTCTCTATGTTGGTGAACTCTCTTTAAACCCATCAGGCTGCCACTTTGGTCTTTCACAAACACTTACGGATATTTCTAATCAGTTTCTGACTTTTTTTTAGACCAAACAGCAAATCGTTTAATCGGGAAAAAAAAATCAGAAGAATCAACAATGCTATTTTGTGATTTAAGATTTCTGAGGCCAATAAACACAAACAGTAGTGATTCTAGAGTCTGTTGGGGCCCTAAGCAAAATTCACTGGGGGCCCCTCCCACTAGCATTGATCGGCATTATGTTAAAAAATAATCTGACACTAACGGCAACTTTCAGTGACACATTTAAGCTTTCACATGAACATTGGAACACTTTGTGGTTTAACAACAATACCACCTTACGATGTTTTCCTACTGTCATTTTAAAATTTGCACATTCTGAGCCACTGCTACATATGGTTTAAAGTTTGTCAGTCCTCGTTTGGGCCCCCTACTGGCCAGGGGCCCCAAGCAGTTGCCAGCCTTGCCTGTTGACAAGCAGCACCTCTGAACATAAAGTACAGCATATTAACAAGCTAAACTTGTTACTGTTCTTAACAAGGAGGGTAGAACCTGAATGTCTTTATCATCAACCAATAATAGTGATACCACCTGCATTGAGACATACAAACAGCATTCACTGATACGTCATTGATACTGATTCTCTGTTTGGCTCAGGCCCTTTACATAATGTATCACACATAGTACATACTCAATAACCCTACCTGTATACACTCAACATAGTCTCTGTTTTCTCCTTCAGGGCTTCCAAGGAAAGACAGGACCTCCCGGACCTGGAGGGGTGGTTGGACCTCAGGTAGATATACAACAACACAATACTCATCTATAGATAGAATCTACCTCCTGACTTTGTTTTCTGGGTCAGCTGTTGAAGAATCATGAATAAACAGATATTTCAGTACGAAGCTGTTACAACTGCAAAACAAACCCAGCACACTCAGGATGTAATCAAGATGCACCAAAGGTTTTGAAAATAATTTTGGATTCGTTCAGTGAGATCGTTGTGTCATTCAAAAGTAGTGAAGCGTGTGCTGAAGATACAGTTTTCCATCTCATCAAATCTTTATTTACATCGACAATAGAAAGAAAGTAGATGAAGATTTAAAAAATAAATTCTGACTTGTATCAGATCTCCTTCTGGACACGTTTTCAAGCATGTTGACCTTGTCTGTTGTGCCTGACAGGGCCCAACTGGAGAGGTGGGACCTGGCGGAGAGCGAGGACACCCAGGCTCCCCTGGTCCACCTGGTGAGCAAGGTCTACCTGGTTCTGCTGGAAAAGAGGGTGGAAAGGTAAATGAGCATGTACTTTATATGTGACCAAAGGCGTAGTGGTTGCGTGTCGAATGCAAAAGTGTTTTGCTCTTGGTAATTGATGACATCAGAATAACTCACAGCTTTTTTTGTTTTGGTCGTTGGAGGTTTTTTGACATTGTCTGATCTTTTTTTTATTTTTTATTCATAGACTTGAACTACCTGTTAAATTTTAATGTCACAGATTACAACCTGCGTCCCTGAGTGGATATGGTTATCTGTCTTCTTCTAAGAAGAGGCAGGGCTAAGGGTTGAAGAGGGAGGGGTTCACTTGAAAAATGTATGAAAAGTGTTCGAGCCTCTGAGTGAACCATGAAAAAGCTGCATGACGCGTCATCCCTTCAGTGTAAACACAGAGCTCAGAACAACAAACCCAGAGGGAGTTTGACTTCACTCTTTTTTTTTTAGAAAACAATTACTCAACAATATATTTAGTGAGGATATATTCGATATCTGCGATAGAAATGTTTAAAATATTAACTTTTCCTTATACATGGGTTCACTTTCTAAAAAGGACTGAATAATGATGTAACAGTAGTTATAACTTTACAAAAATAAACAACCAACATAAAGCCCAAAACAAAACAGTTCTGTTTTCAGTGATTACCTGTCGATACATCAGACCTCTTAAAGTGTTTTCAATTGTTTGCTCCCTCTGCAGGGTGACCCAGGTTCTCAGGGTCCTGGTGGCAAGTCAGGACCTGCTGGACTGAGAGGCTTCCAGGGGGCAAGAGGTCTTCCAGGGGCCATGGTAACACACACACACACACACACACACACACACAAACCCTCACACACATTTACCCACTCATGCAAAAACCGACACATGTGAACATCAGGAACAAGTGTGTCATCCTGAGCAAACACCAAGTTGAATTTAGCTCCAAACACCAATTACTGAGCTAACAACCTGCTGTTAAACCAAATGTCAGGCCTGGCAGTGGACCTGGCTGAAAGGTGGAGAACTGGCTAACATTGTCGTAAATGAGAAAGTCGAGGCAGGCATAATGTTGACATATTTATCATCATAAGTCTGCAAGGTTGCAATATGTTGTCAAAGTGGCTTTGGCAAATAAGTGAGAGCAGTAAAATGTCTATGAAACCAGCTGTACTCTGCATTTTTACAGGCTTTCAGTTCCACATTAGTCGCAGATTACTTTTGTAGGAGGAATCCTGTTAGGTTTTCGATCGGAGAACGAGTCAAAGCCCTTCTGATTCTGATCCAAACCCTCGGCTTTGTGAGTGCATCACAATTCACCCCCCCCCACCCTTTCCCCCCTCCCTGCTGAGTAACCCGAATTAATTTTCAAAAGAAGTGGGCGTGGGTGAGAAAAAGTTCAAGGTGAAAGCTGTAAAAGGCTGTTAGAGGCTGACTGAGGATCCGCTTGAGAGACTGAGGCTGAGGCTCATTTCAAGGCTGACCATTAAGAGAGAGCACACGACAGCACAGCCCAGACTTATTACCACCGTTATGTTTGTCCCATGTGTGCAGAGGGATGGCTTTCTCTTCATAACAACAGCACCTGCACCCAAACAGGCGCAAATAAAACCTCATATTCTCTCTTAAAGGGATCCCGCGCGGAGCAGACACAAACATACACCAACACCTTTCCTATGAGCAATAACATAAAAGTTAATCTCAATCTGTTTGCAGAGTGAGAGCCGGTACAAACACACATAGTTTGTTTTCCTTTTTTTGGAGACACACACACACACACACACACACACACACACACACACACACACACACACACACACACACACACAGTCCTCATCCCTCCTCTCAGTCTTGAGGAAATGGCCCAGTAGCAATATACGAGCCAATAAATAACTTTTTGTGTGTCCGGCAAAGAGAGCTCCTTCCAGCCTTCTAATGCTCGATGGTGAAATGTGGAAGTCGAGGGAGCTGGAGAGTGTGCTTGGCAGCGTCTGTGCTCCCCCCCCACCCCCAGCTCTGTCAGGCCCGTAAATTAGTTATTATAATGAAAGTCTTTACAGCCTCTGGTGAAGCCCGTATTTCCATATGCAATCTCAGCCTCCTGATGCTGTGATTCAGAATCATGGATGTGTCATTTAAGGCCCAGTACCGTGTTGCAACAGGTATGCAGCAGTTCAAACACAGTCTAGTTTGAACGTATGCGCTACTAACTTAGAAAAGTGTTGACAACAGAGCTAGTGTCACTACTTCGCTTTGAGGTGTTGCACCAGCTTAAATCGTATACATAGCTCCTATTGGCTGTTAGATGTGTTCTCATTGATTTATTACATCCCTCAGAAATGAACAATGACTTAAATTGGACTCTCAGAGAGATTTTCCCTTGTCCAACATAAGAGCACCATTACATAATCTTGTGTTTGAGTTGACAATTTCACCAATTTATGTCACTGTCATTGGTTCTATTTCACACAAGCTGTAGATTGAGGTTGTAGCTGTTGTTTTCACCTAATCATAATGCCTTCATAAGGCTTTGTCATATACATCCATATTTTTCCCTGATTGTGGATTAACCACCGTTAACTTAAGTTATTTTCTGCCATTCGTCCTTTTATTGACAAAGATAAAAAGAAAGATAAACTTTATTGATCCCCCATGGGGGAATTTCTTTTGTCACAACAGCTCAAGAAACAGGAAACAGGAATATAATTATCAAAAATAACAAGAAGTTAAAAATCAAACATATGTACCTCACAATAAGGCAATAGAGGCAACACTGTAAAAAAACACTCCATTGAGAAAAAATGCTTTTCACTGATTGGTCACATATGTACACAAACAAACGTAATTTCTGCGACAATATTTTTGGGTTAGTTTGGATGATACTAGTTATGGTGAAGCTTACATCCCTGTACAATGACACAACCTGTGTTAGTACTTAACTGATTTCGACGTAGGGGTTAGTGTGGACTTGACAGCCAAACTTAAGACAGAACTAACACATAGCTGGTGCAACAGCCCACTGAGTCTTGAGGAGATGACATTAGTCCAGGGGTAGAGGGACTAACACCTTGAACCTTTTTCTCACCTGTTGGCTTCAGAATCTGTCCCCCACCTTTCTCTTCAATCTCAATGAATGAGACCTTCAGTAATGGCCACATTCTCTCTGTTGAAGAGCCATGTAGCAAATTGTTTGACATCTTGGTTTCCCATTAACGATGTTTGCTGTGCAGTATCTCTTGATCACTGTCTGTTTGAATTTGAATTGCCTTTGAATTGCCCCCCGGGTACAAATAAAGTTTTTTGAATTGAATTGAATTTTCTGAGTTGAGTGATATTTGATAGTTAAAGCCTATTAACAGGTTACAACTGAGACGGCCTGATTAATCACGTAACCAACCCCCTGTGGAAGCCAAAAAGTTGCTTTAAGGATTTATTGAATATTTAATATATGTTTGAGCGATTATTAATGAGTGACAGCTGGTTGGAGACGTCTGTCTGCTCTCCAGTAAGGCTGATCCGTTTGTTAGATGTGTGGATTTTGGAAAATAAACAACAGAAAATGAAAAGTACTTGCTTGGGTGCTTCGAAAATGAACTCATATCCTGTAAAACCACCAGAGAAGAAGAACAGATTTCAGTTTAAGATCAAAACCACGCATCAAACCACAAGGACAGATTTTTCTTTTTCTGTGCCAGGTTCTTAAGATGTCCATCTTGGAGATCTCTGCCTCCCTGATACAATGGATGTGAAAGGATTTCTATTTGTGGTGTTCACAGCGTTTGACATTTCAAAAACTCTCCAAAAGCATCTTCCCCTAAGAAACATCTTTCCACTTTCTACTCCATAAACTTTACGGCCCTCCCTCTGTAAAGATTTTTTCTTACAGGCTATTTCTCCACCACAGTATTTTTTTTTTTTACAGAAATCTGTCTTTTTGCATATTTAAAATAGAGAGCCATATACAAAATCTCCCCCATCTTTATTGCAGTGCAGTTAAATATATCACACTTCTTTTAACAAACCTATACAGGAAAAATGAAAGCTAAATCACAGCTATGATTCAAAAGGACTGAGAGGTTTTTTTCTGTAAGTTAAATCCACCCTTTGGAGCAATTCAAAGAAGGCACTTTGCATACTTTCCCTTTCTTTACTTTGGTATTCATAAATCTTGAAGGTTAACCTTAATGGCTGTTTAGAGAGCTCTACTTGGGAGAACAAGAACCCAAGTATAACTACGAGAATATATTTTTTTAAAATGCCAGTGTCTGTATGCCTGTCTTGAGCCAAGCCCTCCAAACACACCTACGCCTTAACATGTATACAAATATCGTCACACTAAATTGCGCACCAGACACACACATTAACATTTCGAGGTCCATTTGACAGCTGTGGTTACTGCTCTCAGAACAGCAGTGAGCAGTGGCCCACGCTGATCAGAGATCTAACCCTCTCTTGTCCTCTGTTTTCAGGGTCCAGCTGGCTTAAAGGGAGGAGAAGGGCCTCAGGGTCCCCCCGGTCCCATCGTAAGTAGCCTGTTACTATGGTAACCCTGTCTCTGCTGCCACAGAGATTGCAGGGAAAAAGTGACTTTTGGAGAATGGAGTTGCTGTGTGCAGTTATGCTCTCCAGGCTTTCAGAAACATGTAAGCTGCAGTGAGAGGTTTGGTGGAGTAGAGCCGGTGGGAATGATTGAAATCATATTTTTTTTCTGGATTAGGTAGATAAACGAAATTGATATAACAAACAAATTCAAATGACAGTTTTACCCCTGCTCATTTACTTTAAATATGAATTGTGTTTCTACTGCTGATCTTGTTATACACAAAGTCCTGCAGACACACAATAACCAAAATAGACAAAGTGCTATGATGACTCAATTACACTTTTTTCAAACTGTGAATCATCTCTCATACAGCTTTTTTTTCTACGAAATTGTTCAGCAGAAGGTAATCATTTCATATAAAGCCCATAAACTTGTTTACTATAGCGTCTGTTGTGGCTCAGATAAACTTTGGGAGTGTGTGTGTTCATTGTATACCCTTCGTTATTTAAGCAGTGTCACATGGGAGGGAGTGATGTTGCACTGAATATTAGCACTGCTGTGATTCGGTCATGGGCACGAGGCCAGAGGCGGAGCGATGAAGATAATCACTGCAGTGCTGATATCTAGAACAACATCACTTCCTCCGTGTGTGACATTGCTTCTATGACAATCATACAAAACTAATCAGTGAAACAAACAGGTGATGCATTGTTTTGCTCCACAAAATCAAATAGTTCCACATCTTAATTGAAATGTACCTGTTTTTCTGAGGTACTGTTGTTTGTCTCCATGGTAACCACGCATTTATTTTGATGTTTGAGTTGATCACGCAGCAAGGTAAATACCAGTCTGTTTAGTAAATCAGAGGTGCCAGCTAGATGAATCAGGACAAACGCTGTCTTCTCTAAAGGTAACTAACAATATTCAGGTAGCTAGATTTAGAGTGATATCGGCCATGTCCAAAATCACACATTACTCACTGTGTAGGAAATTAGCTGAGTACTATCATGACTTGTATGGTGGACTCTTTGTATCCCACAATGCATTGCAAAGAGCAGTGTACAAGCGATGGTAATTTATATATATACCATCATGCAAAGCTTTCGCAAGCAGAAAGTAACGTTTGACTACTCTCAATGCGAATGGACAACAGAAGCATTAAGAAGTTTCTTTCTTGGGGACTTGCATCTTCTGCATTAATGCACCGTCCTGTATCACAATGAAAACGTCCTTTTAGCTGCTTAAGCTGCATTCACATACGCACAGGGCTTTAACGTCGTTAAAGGTGCAGGACTCAGGTAAGGTGGAGGAGTGGCAGGTTAATCTTGAAATAAGTGGAGCACTTTTCCCCTGCTTTTGTCTCTGATCCCCCTCAGTTAGTGATATGTGCAATGAAGAAAAAGCCTCAGGAGCTCCGGTGGTGAATCTGTTCAGAAAAAAGCTGAGTGACAGGCAGCTTTGAACCGTCTGACATTTTGTTCAAGCGTTAAACGCGGGCCCCGATAATTGCCCCTGCTCACCAGCGACAGAGCAACACCAGATTAGATGACAGCGGATATGCCGAGCACGGATGAAAAGATGATGAAAGCTTGAAGAGGGGTGTTTTCTGAATGAGCGAAAAAAACATTTCCAGTGCTGGAATGAGATAGTTTTCTTAAATTGGCTTGAAAGTGAGCCATTTGGATGAAAACATGTGATAGACTGTTTTGGTTAGGGCTTTGAAAAACTCTATGAAAAAGAGGACGGCAGCTCCATCGATTTCCTGCCACGGATTGAGCTGCTGTTAGAAGGTCTGTGCGTACGGTGCAATTTCATAGGGCTGTAGCCTACATGTGTGTGTTAGTGGGAAAAAGACAGACAGAGAAAGCAGGAAATTGTGCAAAAAAAAAAAAAGAACAGCGAGGATAACTGCTTTGGAGTTTGGATTCGTGTTTTTGTGTTGCAGTTTAGATTTTTTTGGTAAGATGGTGCAGTGTAAATGTGTAGGAGAAAACCATGGATGTTAGAGAGGGAGGGGAGCAGAAAGAAAGAATGTGAAGTTGTGTGAGTCAGAGAAAGTTGTGTGTGTGTCCTGGCAGGCAGGTTGGCAAGCCAGGGTTGACAGTTTGGAGCTCTGTGTGTGTGTGTGTGTGTGTGTGTGTGTGTGTGTGTGTGTGTGTGTGTGTGTGTGTGTGTGTGTGTGTGTGTGTGTGTGTGTGTGTGTTTGTGTGTTTCACCGGCAATGCCTGTCATGAAACGGGCCAAGGCATATGAGTGCCAGGTGGCAGCTCCCCACAGCAGCTGAATCAGTGTGTGTTTGTGTGTGTTTGTGTGTGTGTGTTGGTGGTGGGGGGGGGGGGTCTTTGGCTTGTAGACATGCACATGTTGTAGTTGAAAGCAGCCGGAGACCTTCCCTTGGTGAGAGGATGCAGTGAGGACCTGCTGATCAAGGATTTAGTCACAGCTTATGTGATGTGGTTCCTTCCAAAGTCAGCCGCACCCACCTTAAATCAATTACACGCTGCATTATTTTTGTTTTCTTGCAGCTTTTTGCAGTAATAAAGAAGAAAATAAATATTTTAAAAGGTCAAAATCTTCTAGTTCTTTATTTTGCTTGTTGCAAAAATGCCTTAATTAAATTAGAAATATTCAAATATTGTCGGGAAGCGTTTTATTAATGTGGCCTTGGTCTGTTAAAAAGGGAATTTCTTGAAACTGTCTTTATTTAAAAAGCAACTTTTTCTCATAAAGTCAAACTTTCAACGCTTCAAGAGAGGCAGAGAACACTTTTTGCAGAAGTTTCACACAGTTCTTCAGTCAGGAATCGACTTCTCTTGTTAGCTAGAGCACACTGTGCAGCTGTGACTGATGGGTCTTTGTTCTTGGGTGACAGGGTTCTCCTGGTGAGAGAGGTGCTGCCGGCCCTGGAGGTCCCATTGGTCTGACAGGACGCAACGGCCCCCAAGGACCGCCCGGTCCTGCAGGAGAGAAGGGAGGACCTGTGAGTATTTCAGTTCAGCTCTCACTCAGTGAAAGTTTGCTTTAACCCTCCGTTAACATGCACTTCATGAATGTTTAAATTATAGTTTAACATGCTCTTAGTTATATATGTTAACATATATGAGTATTCTTTGTCGAGTCCTCCGGTATTAACAAAGCAGGCAAATCGATTTGACTGTTTGTAATAACATCTGACAATTAAGAACTTTGAAATTTTGAGGAAATATATGAATTTGACTGCTGGTGATGTGACACTATTCAATGTATGTTGTGTTCAGGGAGAGAAAGGTCCCATGGGTCCTGCTGGCCGTGATGGAATTCAAGGTCCCGTTGGTCTTCCTGGTCCTGCTGGTCCTCAGGGTCCCCCTGGAGAGGACGGCGACAAGGTGGAGTAAAGACGTGTCACACTAGAATACTACATTTTTAAAATGGGGAGTTAGTCCTTACAGAGTCGCTGTGATTGGTTAGCGATCCTGGATTGTTGTTTCACACATTTATGGAAAGGAACATTTTAGTTTAATGTCATTAGTCAGATGCAATGATCATCATTTTTTATTTTAAACTACAGTTTAAAGAATGAAAAACGTAATGTAGCTTTAACCCTGATTTGAAGATGAAACTGACAGAGTTTATTATATGTAAAAAAAAGATTCAATATGTTTATAGTCACTGCAATTATATATAAATGTGTGACACTCTTTTGCTTGGAGGCTACATTAAAAAATGGTAAAGGTTATATACTGTATACAGGTAGTCAAATTTAATGAAATCAAATAATCACAGAATAAGAGAGGCAGTTATGAAAATAAAAACAGGGATGTTTGAGGAATATGTACATTTTACATTTAGGGCTAAATATATACATTCAAGGCAGTATGCAGAAATATACATTCAGGAAACAGTTGGAGAGATCAAATGAGTTTGACTTCAACATCTGTACCATCACCTCCACCACATCCACAAAGTTCTGATTCGTCAGGACATTCAAGGGTATATATGTGTAGGCACTTTTTGTACATCTTCTTACAGCTTCTTTTATACTTCTGTTCTATTTTTAGCTATTCAACGAGGCTGCTGCACTGTTTCCATAATAATAATGTATTTCAATGTCAAATGTACTGACATCTCTTTGTATAGAAAATACAACATCTTGTGCTGCATGAAGAAAATACTTTTTTATTTCCTCTTAGCTCCACGCAAACAATGGCAAAGATAATGATCATAATGCTGCATTCACTTAAGAAAATAAGCACACACAGAAAGCTTTTCCAAATACAAGCGGACAACACAAACAACGACATGTACTGAAATAGCCACAAGCTCCCGTACTGTTTAACCTCAGGCCAGCTCGTCCCGCATCTGCAGATGATAAACCTGAACCACAGATCTGCATCTTCACATTTGTAACCATCATGGCGCTCAGTCACGTCCTAGTCACGTCTTCCATCACACCGTTTTGTCAATCATCGTGCCAATGGGGTTAGACAGGGAGCCAATCAATTAATTGCAAACACTCGCCCAAGGTCTTTGTGGGCCAATCAAATTAAAATCTCTTGAGAAATATTTACTGCCCGAGCGTGGTAAAGGTGACACTTTAAGATATTGGACTTAAAGATGGAGAGGAGTGATGTGAGCTCTGCTGTTTGTATTGCACCACAGGGAGAAGTTGGCGGACCTGGACAGAAGGGGAGCAAAGGAGACAAGGGTGAACTCGTGAGTGGCTTTTCTTTTCTTCTCCTCTTCCTCTTTATTTTTTTTATATATAAGGCAATGAGTTTTGAATGAAAAACCAAGCCCGCTGAATTCTCATATGAGCAGAATAAATCAAACAACACAGGTAACTTTGCAATGACTCACCTTAGGTTATGCTGCACCAAACAGTCTGCAGAATATAAAAGATGGACTGAAGTGCTACTGTGCTTCCTAAATAGTTACTTAGCTTTCAGTAACAACACCTGTTTACTCCGTCCTCACCTTCAACATCTGTATTTTTTACACTGACTTTGGTTGGAGACATCAAATAAGAAGAAGTCCCAAGATTAGAAATCCCACAAAGGGAAGTCAAATTTTACACTCTGTTGTTGAGGCATGTTACACACACATAGGCTGAAATACACACACATGCACAAACAGGATCCTATGGACATGCATTAATGGCGAGATGTCAGAGTGAGGTGGCTGCCCACAGTGAGCGCTCCTGAGGGTTGGGTATCTCATCTGGCACCTCTCCAGCTACTAGACAAATTTTCAGACTTTGTCCGCACGAGGACTTGAGCCGGTGACCCTCTGGTTCCCAACCAAAGTCCCTACAGACTGAGCTACTGCCGCCCCAAATGTTGAAACATATCCCCTGTTCTTTGAGAAATAACATTCCTTCAGGTAGACAATCTGTATTTGGGGGAAAACCACTTTAACCTATAGACGTTTTCATTAACTTTCATTGATTTCTAGAATAAATGAAAACAGTAGTTCTAGCCTGTGTGTGTGCTAATGGACCGCAATAAGAGCATCATTTTCTCTCATGGTTTCACTGTTCTGGATATCAGTGAGATATGAGTATCAGTTCTTTTTTGTTAACATGATGATCACAGTGAAAGTTTCAGATGCGGCAGCAAATGGTGATGCCTATTAATCTTTTTTTTTTGTTACTTTTGCTTTTAGGGTCCACCAGGCCCAAGTGGTCTTCAGGGTGTGGTCGGCGCTCCCGGTCCAGCTGTAAGTATCTCTTTCTCTGGCTGGAAATATTTGTATGCAGTTTCAGTTCACCTTTCTTGGATGTCAGAAAATTACCACTTGGAAACCCCTTTGCATCAATTTTAACAAAGAAAATGTGTACATTTTCATTTCCAAAAGATTTTTTATTTATTAATATTGAATTGCCATTAAGCTCAAATTGTTTTGTATCCAAACTTTCAGATGATGACACTTCTCTTAGTGTCATCTCACATTCTCACAATGCTTATCTTGGCGTTTTCTGTGTTAAAATAATGTACAGTAATGGCAGATCAGGTTTTAAATGTAAGGCTCCATGATGACAGTGATTCATTAGAGAAAATGAAACTGCCTGTGGGCTTAATGACTTGCTGTCTTCATAAAGTGTTCCACAGAAGTGACAGAATCATGTCACAGCCATGCTGTCATTGTGCTAACTCTACACAAGTTTTATCTTCAACTTTATCATAATCGTTTAATGAGCTGTTACAGTGTTTGGATGCATTAAGAAACTTGACATTTGGTTCTTAATGGCTCACTGTTGAGGACTCCTGTTACAACCAGGTCGACTGTTTTAAAAACTCTGTTTTATTCCCAGCGTAGGCTGAAGTGAAGCACTGCTCCAGCCGGGTCAGGGATATATTATGCAGGCAGAGTTACTTTTAACTGCCACCTCTGTGCTCCAAAAAACCTTTGGCTGTGGTCCCCATTCGTTTAAAAATCCACCATTCTTTATCATTTTAACGTTACACCAATTTCATTTTAATCACGACTTTTACTTCAGGCAAAGTATTAATATGAAGGTAACACACAAGAGTTTTATTTCATCACAGTTGTTAACAGCTTGTCCTTTACTAGAAACGTTTTTAGCACCCAGACATTAATTATATTGCAGAGACTGATTTTGTGTTTGTATTGCTTTGTGATTCTTACATGGGATTAAACTTGTGACCTCCAAGTAACAAAAAAAAAGGCTCACAGACCTCAACATCACACAGATAACACAGTCATTTCCATACAAAACCTCATATGGCACCAAGTTTAGCTGCAAACACAGCCTTGTTTTTCTGCAGAGCATCCTCCACTCATCCATCTCATTAACACAACAGGAACAGTCCTGCTTCTACTATAGCTGATGGCCTGAGGGCAGCCAACAGCTCATTGCTGTAAATTATCAGACCTTAACAACCATTCTAGCAAAAAACTCAGCATCTGCAGGGCTCTGTGGGGGCTACAATAGACCTGGAGAGACGGATTGCCGTAAGCAGGTAGTGCGCCCAAGCTGAATAACAAATTATTTAACAGTTGTTTGTCCTGTTGAGTCAGTCTGCTCATGTGTATTCATAGCTTCAAAAGTGAGGCGTGTCTCGTGCTGCGTACTTTTAACCTTTATCTGCACTCTTGTATGATTGCAAATCTTAATGCCATCATCAATTTCAAGTCTCCAAGTCTTAATACCCACCCAGCCTCTTAAACCAGAACAGATTCTGATGTTTGTATAAGAAAATGAATGATCTAATTATCGTTCATCTGAGGCTGAACGAGGTTCGCAACAAATGAGTCGGCACATTTTGTTTGTCAAGATGAAACCAAGTTTAAGCAACACCTTATACTTATCCTTATAAGGACCATACTAAGCAAAGCATATTAAGATCATAACTCATGTACAACAACTTCCTAATGTTCTATCAATAAGCAGGAATCAAGTGAGTATTGAGGGAAACTTCTTAGCTAACGGCCTATTAGCTATGGATTATGGTCATATAGAATAAGGTATTAATACATTCTTAATAATGACTAACTAGCAGCTAGTATGCTACTGATTAGCATGCTAATAAGCAACTAGTTAATGGAGAATATTGTTACCTTTAACTGTTTCCCCAATTGGAATGAAATACTGCTCATCTCCATCAGAATGTTTCTACATCTACCAATATCTATATAAAATATATAAATAAAAAAAATGTTATAAATGTTATTTAAGAATATTTTTGGGGGCCTTACTTGGCGGGACGAAACACTATCTTTGTCTCACTTGACGTAAGATAAATAGAATCCAAGAATAGCGACTTAGATTTGATTAGATTTGAGACAACATGTCACAACAAAAGTTATTTCTCTGCCTTAGGACAAATAACAATCCACAGTTTTAGTACAAGACATTATACAATGACTTGTGAGGATTTGAACCCCAAAGAAAGCTCGTTTTCATATTAGATCATGAGCATTAGTTGAATCCACATATTTTTGGCGTTCCCTCTGTCTTGTAATATCCATTCAGGTAACGATGTGTTTTTTTTTAGAATATTCTGCAGAGGTCCATGAATACAAGTCATTCATTCTGAGTGAATGACTGTCAGAAAGTAACAGACTAGTTTCCCTTTGTGACATTTTGATCTGCTGAATATCTCAATGAGGAGAAGTCTAACTTTTTTAAATCACTTTTGAGTCTTGAGTTTAGACAACATTTGACACAATGAATATATAAATACCATTTTTCATGTATAACTTCAGTTAGATCCTGCTAATTCTTTATCAACTAATCTTAACATAATGGTGACACTGGTTCTTCGCAATTTGTTTTCAGAGTGACAGATTATGTAGAAATTACTTTAAGCACTCTGAATCTACTCCAATTACTGTTTTCGATGGCCTCTAGGGGCTGTTTTGGCCGTCACATTTGTGACATGTTTTGTTTAAAGCCTCTCTCAACTTTAGTCCACCTTGTCTCCGACTCTTTACTTCAAAGCTGAACTCGTGCTACCTGTAATCAGCCAGCATTCCCCTCCTAAACTGCTCTGCATTCAGAACCAGCGCCAGAGGCTGCCTCCATGTCCCTGGGCTCAGCGAGAGCTCCACAAGCACTTTCAAGTGCTGACATGTGTTTGAACTGAAAACTCCCAGTTTGTCAGCACTTCACTCCTTCCCTGTAGTCTCCCTTTTCTATCCTCTGTAGCCCTGTGCACCGCTGGCTTCACACATTTAGTCAGCATCTTTCACAAACTCTCTGTACCATAACCCTGTGGCTATACTGCACTGTATCCTGATCCCCTCACGAGAACCTCTGGTATTCTAGCTGATGTGTCCCCAGGTAGCAGCACACAGGGTCAATGGCTAAAACTGCTGCCTCACCGGTGTCCAGTTTTTGTTTTTTGTTTTCCTCCGTATACATTTATTGGCTGACCTCCTTGAAAGATTTGAAGGCTCTCTCAAGGCCCTAAACAGCAAGTGAGGATAGATTTCAGATCCTGAGATAGACTGTTGACCACAGACTGTATTAAAGATACAATGTGATACGATACAATACGCTACGATAAGACAGAACTTAATTAATGCTTAATTCTGGTGCCAGGCTACTCCAACATAACAGTACACAAAAGAATAAAACAAAGAGCATCAAATATAAGTGAATATAATATACCTCTATATTAAGTATGAAGTGGTTAAATGCAAAGATACCATGCCTAAAAAAGGAAAAAAATAGAGTTATAATAAGTCAAGTAACAGAGTAGGTGAAGTTCAACGGTAATGGCATTATTGGCAATAGTGTTGGAAGTTCATTGTAGTAGCACTACACTGCTACTACAATACTTCTACCTAACTCATATTGAAGAGGACTGATGTCACCCAGTGGGCTGTGAACTTCATCAACCTTGGGAGTTTTTGGCGGTCACCATCTTGGTTTTTTGGACCAGTGGTGTCCATATTTGAAAAAGAGGGTCCATACATATTGGCACTCCATCACTGGTTTACCATCGTGTCAGTCACTGGCAGGGGCAGATCCAGGGGCTGGCAAGGGTCTACCCCTGAATCCTCAACAGCCTACATAGTGGCCACATAGTAGCACTTTACTTAAGCATACCCTACTTTGTCATAAATCTGCTGAATAATCCGGCATATCATTTTTCAAATTAAAATCATTCAGTGTTGGAGAATACTTCTTATCTGGAATTGAGACTATAAACTCGTTAAATGTGGCTTTTTTTTTCACAAGTGTTGTCTCCACCTGCTTTATCATTACCAGTGGAATGCACCTCCACATTTGTTTCCCTTTTATAACCACTTTACTTTAAAGTCCATGTTGTTGACCTAACCTGTGTGCATGCTGACACAATCTCCATCCCCTTAATGGCCCTGAGGAAGAAACAGGGTTGTGGAGGTTTGATGGACGGATGAAACTGCCATAAAATGACCTTCAGAAAAGGCATTAAGGTAACTGTCTGTCCTAATCTGTGTTTGAGTTCAGGCATCGACCCAGCCTCTACCATGTGAGCTTGAATATACCCCTCCATAACCTTGAAAAGGATTAAGAGGGCAGAGAAATCCCAAAAGAGAAATCCTAAACAGATACCAGTGTTTGTGGACTGTTTGTTGAAGCTTCGGCTAATTGGGATCAGAATAAAGATGTTTGGGTTTAATGAGCTCTGACCTCCCACAGGGCAGTGATGGTGAGTCTGGGCCAAGAGGACAGCAGGGTATGTTTGGCCAGAAAGGAGACGAGGGATCCAGAGGATTCCCTGGTCTACCAGGACCCGTCGGACTTCAGGTGAGTCAACACTGAATCTGCCTCTTTACCCACTCATGTTTACTCTCTTCTCTGAACACACGACATCTAGATCATGTTGAACACAGCCTGGTACGTATGCACATCTCTCTCCCTCTCAGCCGGAGCAGAACGCGTTCCTCACATCCTTAAACCGACAACATTTCACCTCCCCTTACATCATTTACATTGCATCCAAACAGAGCATAATTTATTAATGCAGCCTCAGCTCCTAATAACACTTTGTGTTGCTCCTGGGCAAATGATGCTCTCCACCCTCAAGGACTTTCCCCAGCTTTGACAGTGCTAAAAATCCATCACCATTGCAAACATTTTGCATTTGGCATCGTGCCTCGGCGTTAATGGTGGAGGGAAGACTGCCGTTGGTTTTTCACTCAGACCAAATCATTATCATGCAGTAAACTGCTTCCCTGCAGTGCTCACAGGCCTGAATAAGAGACCAGCTGCTGAGGTAGCCTGTATTTGATCAGATTTTTGAGGCAGTTACTGTTTTGCAAGAGGATGCTGTTGATACAGGACAGGACACATTTCATGTGCTGTATCAGACGACAAAAGGCCTCATTGTACCACTGTTTGTGTCTCCTAAACATGGAAAATGGCTTTTATCAATAAATGACCCACAGTTTTATTTTCCACTTCAACACACATCAATCCATGGCCATTTATCTTCTTCTTTTTTAAATGGTGGTAGATCATTAATCTTTGGAAGCCTTTTTCCTTGAATCCTGCAAAGAACAAAAACATTTATATATTTTTTAAATGACCCGATGTAACCTCTGTGAAAAGAAAAAAAACATATGTTCTCCTTTTAAATTAAAAGTTTAAAAAATAACCAACAAAAATCTGCCTTTTGGTTGTTAAATATACTTACACCACCTCACTTTATGGGCTTTAATATGTAGCTTATGGTAGCTAATTAAACTTGTGTTAGGAACTGTAGGTGAATATTGTTGTTTTTCTGATTGTTGAGTCATTTCACAATACACCTCTGTGTTCAAAACAGTAAAGTCCCCCATTTGTGCAGGCAGTTTTAATTGAATTACTTTGGCTACAGAGACGCTCTATGTCTGTCATTAAAAGTTTTCATCAACCCTTCTACAAAAAAAAAAAAAATCCAGTAAATGGAAAATAAGGTCTCTTCTTCACTGGGGCGACTTTTGTGTCCTATCCCTCTCAACATTTGTAGTCATCAATAACTCTCATTTGTGCTCATGGTTTTATTATAAAAGACCTATATATCACTTTGAGAAACAATACAAAAATGTTACATAATATGTAATATTGCATAACATTTACAATATTTATACAGAATATTTGATAAAGCCCATCACTAAACCTTGTTTGTATTATAAGGATAAGATAGTTTAAGTTTTGCTCTATTCAGCTCCTTCTTCCTCCAAACTGCAAGTGAGAAAAAGGAGAAAGCATTTGATCATTTACCCAATCAGCTAAATTCTAAATGATTTGCTTTGGTGGCAATGAATAAAATAAAAAAACAGCTCATTTTAGACAATCTCAAAGTCAATTATCCAAGGACTCTCTGAGGATGCAATTAGAGCGAAGCCCTGCTGGTCAATAGGGTTAGATAACATTGTTATTAAGTGCAATTGGCTTTTAATTGGGCATAATGCACTCCATCTCCTCTCTTTTAATTATGTTTGGCTAAACGGCCCTTCAATAGATGGCAGCAGCCACTGCGAACTCAGCTCTTCAATGCAATTATCTGCAGAATTAATGATTTTTGACTATGGGGAATGAATGGCTCTGCTTTGAAAGGCTTCCATCATTTGGAGCTGTGTTTGCTGTGGAGTATTGGAGTCGACGCTGAGCCGATGAATTCTCCCGATTAAGAGGTTAAGATGTGGACATAGAGGAGAGTAAATACCAAATTTGATTACACCAGAGTGTACTTATAGTTCAAGGCTATAGTGTGGAAATAAAGGGGATTTCCAAATCCCAAGTAAACTCCTGATATGCTCTGACATATGTGCAGTTGTGTATTTAACTGCATGGGGTGTGTGTGAATTGAACTCGTCTTTCTGGCCCTGTGATCCATTAGATTTATTTTTATTTACAAAGAAGCCCACCATCCATCAAGCGCTGCCATATTCGAACATTAAACATAAATAAGTTGATGCTTTATTTATTTTCCCATTCCTAACACCGCCATGCTTTATTACAATGACTGAATCCCCCATCAGAACACGTTATGAATGAGCCCTCGCTGCCGTCGACACAGGTACAGTTAATCAACCAAATGGGCTGAAACTACACATGTGTGATTTCAATGATCGATATCCATGTCACTGTGATTTTACAGCAACTTATCATTACCGCTGCTTTCCACCCACCAATTTTATTATGCATGCTCCATCACAGAGTATAACTAACACAACAAATTACTGTAATTATGGGAATAAACAATAAGCTACAATGCAACGTGAGAGCTGCTTCCCTTTTTTTGCTCTAGTACGCTAAAGTTATATTCAAAGTGTTTTAGTCAAACATGACTGGATCTCAAAAGTGTATTCTAAGCATCGCCTGCACTGCCCCCTTTGTTTCCACTTTCCTGTGGACGTAGATGGATGGAGCTCCCATCCTGTAATTTACACAGCCTGATTATACCCAAGACTCCCATACCCTTTAATTACAATAGGTGTCCCTTTTGACTAATTGTGTGTTTACACTCAGGGGTTCAGCTTGCATTAATGCACTCTCCATCACACTGCATCCTGAACCCCCTGTGTTCAATACACATCACATGAAAGTACCTGTTAATGAGCTGCACGGATGTATTTATGCTCCCGTCTGTGGATTATTGAATGTGCCCTTTTTTGTCTCTGATGCCGCCTCACATGACCTTTTTCCCCTTTGTTCTGAACAATATTTGTCTTCTTCGCAGGGTCTGCCCGGCCCTCCTGGTGAGAAGGGAGAGAACGGAGATGTTGGAGCAATGGTGAGTGTAGATTTCAGCTCAGCCACAGCAATTCACATTGTTTTCACGTCCAACCCGGCGAGGTGGGAAGTTGTTGCTGATTGTTCTGAAGTTTTTGGCTGGTGGCTGAGTTTGGCAACTCCAGCAGCCTCTTGACAGACGCTTCAGAAGTCTGTGGAAGATGTGTTGACAGAAAGGGAAAAAAAACATTTGTGCTGGTGGAAACTTTGCATGCTCCATTTGCATGCGGTATTTTTTTTTTTTTTTTTTTAAATCAAAATTTTCATGATTGTTACGGACAAAAAACCCAATCTCTAAATAGAGAAAGAAATGTGTAGCATGTACAGATTTTGTCTGGAGGATTGACATTTTGACACACAATCACACAAGCACCTGAAGTAAATAGAGACTCATGCCTTTATGGTTTTGAACATTCACATAGTCAGTTTCTGCATGTTGGCTTTGGTACATATTGAGTACCTGAGTGTTACTGCTGCACAATTTACAGCAATTTCATGGGTATTGCGATTTGAGCATTCACATTAAATATATCACAGAAGACTAAGTGCATTGCAATAAAAAAAAAAAATATGTAAACAAGCAGTGTTTTCTTACTCAGCCAGTGCACATATAACCTGTTTGAAGGAGGTCTGAGTACACTGGCCATGCTTTGACACCAGTTTGAATCAGACGATTGAAGCTTGATCTATTATCAGCTTCCCTCAGATCTATTGCTGCTAATTTGGAGGTGCAAAAAAAAATGCTTTAGGTTTTATTCTGGATTAGTAGACACATGTTTTAAGCACAGTTATTATGTAAAAAAAAAGCATAGGAACAGCAGATACACATAAAAAGCCAAACGTCACTCTTTAAATTGTGTTTTTTTTAATCACACTTCATATCCTTATCGTAATATTGAACAACATAAATGCACGTTGCATGTTTTTCTGATACCGTGCAGGACTCAGTGTTGCATTTTTGGCTCAAGTCTCAAAGACTCATGCCAACATGCCATGTGTTGGAAACATTAGCACTCAGATTCAGTGATCAGTTACAACCCCTGTTTTAACTAAACAGCAGGAGTAATCAAACAGATCTCTTTTTTAATGTTGTTTAATGTTGTAGGGACTCCTGGCTGCACTGTTAAACTGTGGCTCAAACATTACCTTACTGTTTCTGCCAGCACACTTAATTGTATATTTATTTGTTGTGTTTTTTTTAAAAATATTATCAATTTAAGTATTGTCAATTGTTTAACTATATTTTCCATGATTCATTGTCTTCAGCTATCTTATTTTCCATCATGTTGTTAATGCATCCCTGTTTTTCTGTCACATACACCAGAACATATACCTTGTTCACATTTCTTTGTATTTATCCAGAGAAGTCATATAAAAAAATATAAACTGCACCAAGGGATTCTTTTGGATTTATTTTTAAAGTGTTAGCAGGGTGGAGAATATATGTAGTTTGCCTTCTGTAACATACATACATAACAGAGAAAGAAAGTTATTTTGGCATTTCTGCAGAGTGATTGAATTTTTAATTTTTTCGCTGTCAGGGTCCACCTGGTCCTCCTGGCCCCAGAGGTCCTCAGGGTTCCAGCGGAGCCGATGTAAGTTTGAATTTTGGTTTCTCTGTTTGACAGTTACAGTTAGTGCTTTAAAAAACTGCAGTGTAAAAAAAAAAAAAGTGTATCTTCACTGATTCAAACTTCCTTAGGGTAACCTCTATCTGACCTCATTGTGATTCATCCACAGGGTGCACAAGGTCCTCCCGGTGGTATTGGTTCAATGGGAGGTGTTGGTGAGAAGGTAAGAATACATTCCCCTTATTTTCTTCTGTATTTCTTTCCCAAAATATAACAGTTTTATTGACTCTTTTTTTTTCCTCAAGAAAAAACTACTTCAAATGTGATGCGCCACATTTTCACATTTTCACACATTCACCTTCTTTCTCTTCGTGATCTAACAGGGAGAAAGCGGTGAGGCTGGCAACCCAGGATCACCCGGAGAGCCTGGTATTGGAGTAAGTACAGAATCATTCTAGAGTACTCCTCTCCTTTTTTCAGATTGCATTTTGTGTTTCCAAAATGAAGAAAACAGGCAGTTTATCAAGGTGTGAACAGCACTTTTAATGCAGGCAGTTGGCACAATCTAGTCGTGTGCACTTTTGTGCTCAATTGTGACTGTATGTGCCTGTGAATATGTAAAGAGTGTAGCTAAGATAATTATGTTTTTATTTGACACTTGTGCTGGGGAGGCTGCTCTATCTCCTGAGTATTTTACCTCCATGTTACTGTAGCTTGAAGTTTAGCTGTGCTGGCAACCTGAGGGCTTTACAATGGATAATTAGCTCAGGCACATTTAGACACCTCCGCTGTTGGTGCTGTCATTTTCACCTCCCGAATGAGGCAAGTACGGGCAAAAGTCAGAATAAAGAAGGAACTGTTTTGGATAAGAAAATGAATTTCTCATTATAATTATGTTGTTCAATGCTGAAAATCCACTGACTTGACTGTACAAGCTGGACAACACATCTCCCCTCTTCCTATTGTACAAAAGTGAAGCCAAAATAATGATGACATATTGAGCTGATGAAGTCATTTGAACCCAGAGTTGACTGCCACACTTATGTTACTCTTCCCCTTCCGCCAACCCAAACACTCATTTAACTTACCGATGACATGGCAAAGATCCGTCAGGTCGGACCACAGCAGTCTGTATGGATCGGAGACTAAAAGATTTTGGTGTTAGTGTTCATTATGTTTCTTCTCGCCTTTCATTCTCTTCTCTGCCAATCCAGTGCAGTATTATCTGCATTTGTCAACAGAGCTGTCAATCATGACATTTTACATATTTTTAGTGCATGCAGTAACTAATCAAAACAAAAGTCTTTGTATAAAAATGTAACACTTGGACATAAATCAGAATGTCAAAAATGTCCTTGACATGTACTTCTGTTTCATAGTTTGACACATGTCCCATCTGTTAACATAGAGGAGGAGGAGCTTATGACCTATAATGCAGCCAGTCACTAAAGGGAGCCCCATATGTTTTGGCTTCACTTTTTTGGGAAGCATCAATATGCATAACATCAGCTTCATGGTGCTGCAAAGGTGCAAAATCTTGATTAACTAATCAAAGTACATTTCCTGATCTTTTAAAGTGTCCGATCAGAACAGTGCCATCTATTCCAGGCAAAGCAGTAAACACTGCCCTGGCCTGGTCTAGTCACAACCGAGGCAGACCTCACCTGAGTTATGTGTGAGTGTCAGCAGGTGGTATTGACGTATCCGTCTGCAACCGTGTGTCTGTTTACAGTGACAGATAGAACCAGTGTTGCACGTCACATCGAGGTCAGTCTTCAAGGTGGCATGCTGGCATCGACAAGAGAGAGCCGCTCTGCTCTAATGGGCCGACTAACGATTCAGAGCTTGTAATTATGCTCCAACTGCTGCTCTGAGTCATAGCCAACACTTTAAGACACAGAGGCTTCTAATACAAGAGCAAAACATAATGATAATGTATTGGTAAGACTGTTTAGCATTGATGTAATTGCTATGAGGAGGAGATCATTTGAGAAGCTTTATTTCCCTTCAGCTCGATGAATCACACTCTGAGTTGTTCGAGGCAGCCTTACAGTTGGAGTGACATTTGGATGACACATATGTCTTATTTAGCACGTAACTGTCAAGGTCTGTATGTCTGCCTTCATTTTGACAAGCCTGTGATGTTTTGTTTCCCTTTCAGGGCCCCAGAGGAGAGACTGGAGAGAAGGGAGAGACCGGCCCCCCTGGAGCTGCCGGACCAGCTGGTGCTCGAGGACCCCCTGGAGATGACGGTCCCAAGGGTAACGCTGTACGTCAGCTCCGCCGCTCCACGCACAGCCGTGACTGATGCTCTATTAAAGCTGTCAGCGGCAGAATCTTTGTGTCATGTTCTTTTCAGTTTGAGCTGTCTGCTGCCAGACTTGTTGTTGACGCGATGTCAAGCGTTTTGAGTCGAGCTCAGACTTCTCACTGTCTCCGTCTGTCTGCAGGGTCCTGTGGGCTTCCCAGGAGATCCTGGTCCCCCTGGTGAGCCTGGTGCTGGTGTAAGTGCAACATTTATCCCCCGATGCATCACACACTTATTTCAAAGATATCATACCATTCAGGGAATGCCTGTGAATTGACTCTGTGTGTTGTATTTAGGGTCTTGATGGTTTAGCGGGTGACAAAGGAGATGATGGAGACGCCGGACAACCTGTAAGTTTGAAAAGATCTCACATTTTAACTTACAGCTACTCAGCTAGTTCTATAACCCGAAATTGAATACCAGTTTGAAACCTAGAAGAGTGTTGACGTAACACGTGCATAATGTGATAAAACTTCATTGTGTGTTCTATTTGCTCACTTGCTTTGGTAAAGTCAACATATGTCTCCCATGTCAGTAGAGTCCATTTGAACTGAATTGATATTGCTTTTTAGATAAAGAAAAATGTTTTTATTATGCAACAAAACTCTTTGCAGGTTGTAAAATTGAGTCTTTTATCTGCTTTGATTTAGGGCCCTCCAGGTCCCTCTGGTGAGGCTGGAGTACCAGGACCTCCTGGCAAACGGGTGAGTGAATTTTAAAAAGGATGCATGTGATGTAACCCTGCTGTTTAGCGTCCATACTCCCCTTCAGATAAAACCCTGCGTACCTCGCTATACAACTCAAGTAGCTTCATATGTTTTGCATTTTCAGAAAAAAAAAAACAAACCTGTTTGTATGTGTGATGTAAAAAGATGCCCGTAAGTTAAACTGAGTGTCTAGAAAAGGCAGTAGGAGCAGATAAGAGACGATCCTGTGAGAGAATACTGATGTTTAGTCATACTATAAAAGCAGTAAGACTGAAGCTTCTTAGGCTGTCGCCGTTAAGGCTGGAGCACTTGTTCATTTATTTCAAGCACTCGATGCCCTTCCTGTCAAATGAATTTTGAGCTGAGATTATTGAGTTTTACTAGCTAAGCATTTTAATGTTGCCTTCCATTCACCGTCATAATGTTTCACAGCTAGCAGTAAAACAAACCATTAATGTGCTTTGTAAAAAGGGCCGGTACGATATGGAAAGAACCTGAATATTTAACGTCATCTCCTTTAGTTTGGTTGTTGAAGTGGCAACGTAGTTTACCGTCCTGAACGTTGCCAGACATAGGAGTATCATCAGGGTGTATTCCTGCCAGAAATGCTTTCTTTAAAGCATCAAATGGACCAGTTTGCGATTGGTTTTACATTTTTTTTAAAGTTGGTAAAGTAAGCACTTTTAGAGCCATAATTTGTATTCCAAGGGATAGAATCCAGGTGACAGGGGCTACAGAACAAATTAGGCCCCAGTTCCATGTCCATATTAATGGACTTTGAGATATGAGTTTTCATCCTTCACTGAGGTAATTCTGAAGTTAGTCTCTCTCCCAATATCTCATCCAAATTGACTCAGGTTCAGTGCTCATTCATGCATGAGGCAGCTTGACTACATTAGCGCACATGCACACACGGGTGGACACGCACGTCCTGAATACACTTTTCACTAATGCACACACACAGTTGGCAGGGCTCATAACCTACATTGAAGACTGGTGGCTTTTGTTTGGTCTATTTGATCATGGTTTCTAATGGCCAATGACAGCCCACTCACTCAGGTTTTGACCAGAGGCTGTTTGGTTGAAAACGCTGATGTGCTTTTAGCTCAGTATGTTTGAAATGTAGGGCAGTCTGCTCACACTGATGATTTCCCTCCATACCCCTCTCTCTTTTAAAACGATTCAAGGTCAGAGCACAAATTAGTTAAACAATTAGGACACATACAGCATAAGCTGCTGTTTGTCAGCAAATTTAAAAACTGCTTTCTCTGTTCCCTTTCTAAAAGGTTTATGTTAAAGGGTTTAACACGAGGGAGTGTCGGCTTTTGTGCGTTTGTTATTCAAACAAAAAAAATATGTTCACTTTAAATATTCTTGCAGAAAAACGTGGATTGTACTTTATATGTTTGTTTGTTTTTCTTCTCAGGGACCCGTTGGACAAGCAGGTCAGGAGGGCAGACAAGGAGAAAAAGGATCCAAGGTAAGTCACCACCTGTCCGGTATTAGCTTGACTTTTACTGTACAGTTATGATCTGTTATTTGAATTGTAGATTGTAATCCTGCATGGATGGGTGTTTAAGAATTACACAGAAGCAAAGAAAGGATGTGTTTCAAGTTTTGTAGGAAATGTTTGCCAGCATATTGTAGGGGTAGGACTGCGTATTACATCATCGGTGTGCGCACATGTGTGGCCCTGCTCATAATGGGAGATGCACAAACAGGAAGCCACACATAGAAACAACTTACTGAAAAAAATTCAGATCAATTATCTGTTACAACAGATATCCAAAGTAACACAGATTGCACAGCTGTGTTAGTGTTATGTTTTCCCCCTCGGATTGTGTTTAAAAGAAAATCAGTAAGTTAGTCAGACAGAGGAAGCAGCAGGGTTTCTGGAGGCTATCAGCAGATTTGATTGATTTGTAAAAATCCATAACATGCCTGTGTTTGCATAGCTGAAGAGCATCAAATAGGGGGAAAAAAATCTTTATAAGCCCCAAAGAAATTGTTTGTCTCTAAATCTGTTGGTTCAAAGAAAAGTACAGACAGAAAACCTGACAAATCTCAGACAAAGCTTTGCTCCTTCTTTTGTTCTGACTGTCTCAGCCACACACACACACACACACACACACGTATACAAAGTGCACAATCTACCCACAGCGAGGTAAAGGATTAGAGTTGATTTGATGGAGACAAGACAAAGCCTGCGTGGGGATCCCTGAGTGTCAAATCCAGGCCTAATTGGTTGTCAGAACAATTTAATCCCCCTCCTCCTATGCGCTCAGTCAATATGACATGTCTGGAACTTCAATACACAAAAACTTGATGTTTCTGCTCGGAGACAATAGACGAGATGTGGTAACATCTGATTTGTTTGGCTGTCGCTAATCCTCGAATGTTACCTATCTGAGGAACATATCGAACAATGTGGCTTTTCAAGACAGCTTTGCATTAATGATGAAGTTTGATAACGGCCTTGCTGTCGCTCGGGTCATGTTGTTGACATCTCTTTGTTTTGTATCTGCTGTGCAAAGACATGTACAAACAGTATATGCACACACAATGATCAAGACATCAGGAAAGGAATGCATTCAGCATGCTCACTAAGCAAAGATGTAGAAATATAATGATCAGGCTGGATAAATGAGTTTTATAGAGAAGACTTTTTAAAGGGACACGTGGTAACTTTGTGCTGATGTGTTACAGGGGGAAGCTGGAGCAGAGGGGCCTGTTGGAAAAACTGGACCTGTGGGACCTCAGGGGCCTGCTGGAAAGTCTGGTCCCGAGGGACTGCGTGGAATCCCTGGACCTGTTGTAAGTAACATTGTTCATCTTGTCCCAAGTTTCACGTTTGTAGCTTCCCCTCTCAAAATACCAGATTCAAAACTTTGATTGTAGTATCCAAGATACTTACTAAAAAGACAAGGTTAGACATCCCTTGATTATCCAAATATGTTGACATCCTCATTGGATTTGACAAACACTTTTTCTCCGTTTCCAGGGTGAGCAAGGACTCCCTGGTGCTTCTGGTCAAGACGGCCCTCCTGGACCCATGGTAAGACACTTCTTTTCACCTGCTCAGTTAAAAATAAAAAAAAACATATTTTAGAGCTATGACGATACATCGATCAACAGAAAACTAATCAGAGACTTTTAGGAGTGGTGATGGTTAAATTGTTGTTGTCTTTGTCTTAGCAACAATGACAAAAAATGGCTGTGTTTCAGCTTGTTAAGTGTGACCATTTTATCATTGTTTGTCATGAATTAGAGCACACCTGAAGCACATTGTGTTTTTGGACCGGTGATCAGTAAACTTGACACATTTGAAAGCGTCGCCTCACGCTGTGGAAAATTATTCTGAGCATAATTCAGATTTATCTGCAATTTTCACGTTAAATGGATTGATTGTTAAAGTCATTGTTCAATTCACTCTCTGAGTTTTTCTTCCAGGAGCGTCTGCAGCGTCTCTGCAGATAAACACATAATAGTCAGAATGAATGCAGGGCTCTACGATGTCTTCCGCTGTGAAATAATATGAATTGGTTTCACATTCTACTTGACAATTTGATCCCTCCCCCCCACAGGAACCCCCTGGACTGCTCGGCATGAAAGGTGACTCTGGACACAAGGGAGAGAAGGCAAGACATTATTACGATGCTAATCTCAAATGGCTTTATTGTGGATTTCTCATATCTCCTTCATGGCCTTATCTAAGGCGTCCACAGTCAGCTCAAATCTCAGCCTATGGCTTCTATATCTCTGCTCTCTCTTGCTCCCAGTTAGATGAAGAGAGGCTCTGCTCTGTTAGGAGCGTGCACACAGTGATTTAATGCCCTGGATGAATATGTATAAGTCCAATAATATCATCTTTGTAATGGTCATTGGTTTAATGCCAGCATTCAGTATGCAGCAGCAGATGGTCATAACTCTGCCCAGCAGCAGGTGTCCAGACAGAAGCACCATTGTTAAATATGACGACCGCCATAAACACGCTAATTATTTGTATGAAGAAATAAGACGGTACTGAGGTCGTGTGTGCATAAACACGCCGGTCATTAGCATTTATTTGTTTTTGCTTTGAATAACTGCTTTCATTATCTGCAGATGAGGAATGAGTAGAAATTAAATAGAAAATAGTTTTTTTGTCAAACAGATAATCAGAACTAATATTGTTTTGCTCTTTGAATTTACTCTGTCCCCCCCCCCCCTGACATTGTTGTTATTTTTGTATTTTCTTGCTTCAGGGTCATCCGGGTCTAATTGGACTCATCGGACCTCCTGGCGAGCCCGGAGAGAAGGGTGACAGAGGTTTGCCTGGACCTCAGGGCACTGCAGGTGCAAAGGGAGAAGCTGTAAGTCAGTCTCTGTGTCGAGTGTAATATTTTAAAACAAGCCCTCCATTTCCTCCAAAGGAATGTGAGACGGTTCAAGCGTTTCATAAATGTTTGTGTAGCGTGTTACTTTCCTCGACTTTTGAGGGTAAACTGAGGCGTGAGCTGCATATAGTGATGGAGGAGAGATTGTTTTATCACAGCTTTATTCTCATTTGACTATAAGTAGTGCTTGGTGTTACTGTTAACCTGCTTTTAGCAAAATTCATGATCACATTAGAATACTTCCAATCTTTACAAATGGCTTTTTTTCACATTTAGATTTTCTAACTGGTGTAAAGAATAATGTTTCACTGGTACTGATGTCATCGTGTCTGTTTTAAGGGTTTTGGTGGTTCTCAAGGTCCCCTCGGTCCCCCTGGTCCTCCTGGTATTTCTGTAAGTTCCATTTATTAATGACCAAACACAAACTCTACAAATATCTCACTTTGGTGCTGTTGCTCATCACTTAGTTTTACTTTTCTCCAACAGGGCGCTCAAGGACAGAAAGGCTCCAAAGGATCGACTGTAAGTGGTGTTTTGTTTCCTTTTTCCTTTTTCAGTGTTTTTGAGCCATTAACCCTCCATCATGGGTTTGATGGGAAAGTGCCTCCTCTTAAATCTGTCCTTCATACTTTTGTTTTCTGTCAGGGTTCAACAGGACAGAAAGGAGACACCGGACTGATTGGACCACCTGGACCACCTGTAAGTAACCTGTGTATCGTTGTTTAATCCAGTTAGAGACAACCAGGCTGTATAGTGTAGCTTTAGCTTTTAGCTTCCTCAAAAGGAGATTTTCTTTATGTAAAGGAAAACTGAACAGTTTTTGTTTTTTGTCTGGAGATATTTAGAATTTCAAAGAGAAAGTTTAGCGTACGCAAATAATAAATAACTTTTTTTACTGAACCATGATTGCCAAATGTATGTGTTGGATTCAATATAAACTTAAAGTAAACATTGACTCCATACAGACCAAGTTCAGACCATAGTCTTTACTCTGAAATTGACAAAGGCTTTGGAATAATCTCCTTGACATATCAGTCCAATAGCTACAGTATAATGTGCCTGACCGTCACCTCCGTGTTGCAGGGTCCTCCTGGTGATTTCATCCAGCCACTTCCCATGCAGCAGCCTGCCAGGAAGACCAGGCGGCAGGCTGAGATGCAGGGAGACGAGGCGATGTCAGATTATGGCGTGGATGTGGGCATTGAGGGGATGGAGGATGTCTTTGGATCCCTTAACAACCTCAAGCAGGACATCGAGCGCATGAAGTTCCCCATGGGCACCCAAGACAATCCTGCCAGGACCTGCAACGACCTGCGCCTCAGCCAGCCTGACTACCCAGATGGTAGGAGTGAGACAGGGTTTATCCTGCTGTCACTAATCAGACAATCAGTCGTCTCTACTCTTCCCACTCCTCCCTCTGCTGTCCCAGTTTAAGATTTGATGTTCTTGATGGAAACCTCACTAAACAGGTTCCTCCTTCTGCCCGGATGCCAATCTCTCAAGGCGACAAAGAGGAGCTGTTAAAATAATAACATGATTAATCAAGTCACTTTTCATCTTTGTCATTTAAGCTTTACAAGCAGCAGCCCTGTCATAGATGATGAGGTCATTTTGGCAGTGTTAATAGAAGAGTGAAGGCACTGCTTAGTGTCAAAGAAAACACCCTGCTTTGCATTTTATTTAAAAAAAACTGTTGATCATGTATTTAGGTGTGAGATCTTAATCAAGGACAAGAAATAAGTAAAGGCTTGGACATAATGAATTTATTTTTTTATGTCACTTTTTTGTTTCTTGCTACTGGAAATGAAAATATATCTTGACAAAGGAAATAGCTTTACCCTATTTTTCTGTGTGACCCCAAAAACGTTATTGTTATTTTAATTGACAGGAGGGTGCAAAATTATAAAACATTGTTTAATCTATAAAAATTACTCCATTTAAAATAAAATCCCTTCAAAATATTATTTTATGATGTCTTCAAATGTTGGAAACTCCAACTTTCTCTATAACTTGTTTTCACTTGAGCAAATTGTCACATTTTGAAACCTGAAATCATCAAACATTTGAATTTTGTTTTTACTTAAACGATAACTTAAATTGTTGGTCCATTTTCAAAATAGTGACAGACTTTTCATTAATTAATTACAAAAAATTATGATTGTTTCCATTCTTAATGAACGTTTATGTCTATGAAAGCAAACATCAGTTTTCTAACCTCCCTATGGAACCTGACATTCATAATACATGACTGTATATTATATAAAAGTTCTGTCCAGGATGAAATGACCCTTAAATAACAGCAGACGTTTCACCACAGGAGGCAAAAGCTGTTAGTTCATAGCACCAACTCTTTCCCTCTGTCTGATGGCCTCTCTCTCTCTCTCTCTCTCTCTCTCTCTCTCTCTCTCTCAGGTGAATATTGGATTGATCCAAACCAGGGCTGCATTGGAGACTCCATCAAAGTGTTCTGCAACTTCACAGCAGGCGGAGAAACGTGCATCTACCCTGATAAGAAATCAGCAGGGGTGAGTGCTGGACACACAGTCAGTGTTGCAGCATAGGTCCCGACAGAAAAAGTTCATCTAAGACGCTTAAAGAAACCGCCATGCTTTAAAACGATTTGCTCATTTTTCTTTTAAACACCCTGAATAATTCGCTGAGGTTAAAGACATTTTTTTTCCCCAATAGTGACATGTTTCAAAAGGTGTCATCATATTCATTTTTGGTTTCTTTTTTTTTTTTTTTAATCTCAGGTTAGAATATCCAACTGGCCTAAGGAGGCTCCGGGTTCCTGGTTCAGTGAATTCAAACGTGGCAAGATTGTGAGTCAACCCATATCATTTCTTACTTTCTTTTCTCTTCTCTCCCAGCAGACAAACACACCTGCTTTAGATCATTCATCAGAACTCATTTACAGCTACTGTTTCCCACGTATCTCTCTTTTCTACGCTCCCGTCCTCTGCCTAACAAGCCCCCTGCTTCACCTTTTTCATATTTCCTTTATTTATTTCCACTTTATATCCTCATCTTTCTCTCAAACTCCTCACTCCAACCTTTTATTTGTTGTCCCTTTTTATTTGTTCTTTTCTTTCTTTCCTGTTCTAATTCTCTTTGTCGTCCTCTCTCTCCAGTTGAACTACGTGGATGTAGCAGAGAGCAGCATCAACACAGTGCAGATGACCTTCCTGAAGCTGCTGAGCTCCTCGGCGCGGCAGAACTTCACCTACATTTGCCATCAGTCTGTGGCCTGGTACGACGCTAAGGCTGACAGCTATGACAAGGCGCTGCGCTTCCTGGGCTCCAACGATGAGGAGTTGTCTTACGACAATAATCCCTTCATCAAGCCGCTGTTGGACGGCTGCTCGGTAAAAAAAAACTTTTCTTCACTTTGCAATCTCTTTTTCTTAAGCCATTTAAATCCAATTAAGCCTCACAAATATGTGGACTGATGTAGAAAATGTCTGACAACAATGTTTATACAAGTACAGAACAAAGATCAGAATTTGGTTAGAAAAGCATTTCCTGTTCACGTTACTGTTACATGCACCAGATTTAAAAAAATAATTGTTTAATTAATATAGAAACGAGTTGAATCAACGGAAGATTGACCTTCAACTTGTTTTTATTATGAATGAGTTCTATTATAAATTGAATTAGACATATAAGATGAACATTCACTTGATATAGCTTCTCAAATGTGAGTATTTGCTGGGATTCTGAACTATATTGAATGAAATGAGTTCAGTTTTTTAGTCTGTCTCAGACAAAACGAGTTATGTAATGACATTCTGGTGACCTTTTGGAGAAAATGTAGTAAAAATGTATTTAGTTAAATAGTTAGAACAGTAACTTACAAATCTACTACTGCTCTTCTTGACTGAAGTACTGTACATCATGGTGTACACTATTTTGATTACTTGACAATTGTGATTTTGATTTTTGTGATTTTCAGTTGTTGAGTCATCCTCTTTTAAGCGATTACTGTTTTTTTTTGTAGATATAGTCTGTACAATCTTAAAATATAGAGAAGTGCTTATCACAGTTTTCCAGAACTCAAGTGGAAATATATTTTTGTGGTTCAATCAACTCTCTAAAACCAAAAAGTATTGAATATAAAATGTTATTTAAAACAAGAAAAGTAGAAAATTATCACATGAAGATTTTGTTGCCAGACTTGTTGTTGTTTCAAAGTCTGTGAAACTACAAAACCCATGGCTCAGCACTAAGTGGTGTCAACAACCCAACAGGGTTTTCTGCTCCTCTAAGCTAAGCATGGGACAGGATATCATCCGTCAAGTCATTCTTTTTCTAAACCTTCTTTTCTGTGATGTTCAACCTCTAAGAGTTTTTTTAATTAAACCCCTCTGATAATAGATTTCTTGAATCGTATGTGCACACCTCACTAAACACGGCCTCTTTGTCGGCCCTTTGTGTCCGCAGCTGAAGCAGGGCTATTCAAAGACAGTGATGGAGATCAACACTCCCCGCATCGACCAGTTGCCCATCATTGACGTCATGCTGAATGACTTTGGGGAATCCAACCAGAGGTTTGGCTTCGAGGTCGGCCCCGTCTGTTTCCTCGGCTAGACACGCCCCTACTCCCCGCTGAAGGACAGGGTCAGAGGGTACATATTAACACCCACACGCTGTGATCTGACAACCTTTACCTTCTCTCCCCGCCAAACTTAAACAACCTGTGTTTTGTTTTATGCCAAGAAGATCCACTCAAGCCAGAAGAAAAAAAAAGAGAAGAGTGCCCCCCCCCAGGCCCTGTCATGAAGCGCTGACCAGGGGAAACTACTCCTCGCCCTTGTAGGGCCCCGAATCACATGACTTTAACTTACACGTACGGATGGGAGTGACATCAGGAAAAGGACATTTGATGCCGTGGCGGACAGTAGCGCACTTTCAGCAACAGAGAGAGGATCCACTCACCCCGAGCCCCGTCCTCCCTCGTCCTTCCCCTCCCACCACGCCTCCCTCTCTGGGTGCTCCAGGTGCTGCTCTGAATACAACCACAGAGGTGCTTTTGTGCAGAATCACAAAACACTCAAGGTGCTACAAAAAAGTGCTTTTTTGATAAAACTGTAATTATTATTATTATTTTGTACAATATTGTTCCGAATCCACTCTAAAAAAAAAAACTTGCATGTGCCCCAGCTCTTAGAGTTTAAATAAATATTTGCTAAACTATATAGAAAATAAATCCAATGAGTATATTTGATGTGTGTTTGAAAAAAAATGATTTTGCTAAGAGTTATGTCTTTTGAAAACATTCCAATTTGTAAGTATAAAAGTATCCTTTTGTAAATAATATAACTTTCAATATTTGATATATGAGAGCAAGCCAAACGGGAGCATCACAATTTATTCTAAAAGCATTCATGACAGGCCAGTTGGTCCGCCTTTCAGGATATCAAGCCATAATAAGACGACATAGTAATATAAATATTGTAAGAAAGGGCTTATTCTTCAAACTTGATTTTTTTCCTAAATGCTACACCTCGGTTTCTATTTTTAACAATGTTTAAATTTGAACATTATTTGTGGTGGGTAGCGTTTAGAGAAAATCTTTTTCTGTGAGGTAAAAACTCATCAATAGCTGTTCTTGATAATTACATTTAAAAAGAGAGCCTTGTTGATTTTCTTCTTTGTAACAATGAACAAAATGTTTTTATGTGCCTTGAATTGTTCATTCAAAAATATTAAAACTGGATTCTGAAAAATGTTGGGTTGAATGTCTGTATTGTTACAGAAACCATTGGTGCTCTTTTTCGTGATTCTGCGCTGCCTTATCCATATTACCTTCCTCTTCCATGATGATTTAAGATTAGGAGGATTAGTGGCTCCGAGTGTTCGGGGTTCATGTGATTGATTGTGCTGAGCCCAGGCGCTGTGATCTCCTCTCTCTCTGACTTAGATTTGACTTTGATCAAGATCTGTTTGCATCTCCACCTCCTGAGCTTGAGGCTATGATAGCACAGACTTCAGAGCCGCTTTCAAACCTGTGTAATTACAGTATGTTTACAACCTATGTACAACTGAAATAAATGTTTGGTGCTTTGCCAATTGCACATTGCAATCCTTTGCATTTACTTTTAGATTATAATTATTTGTAAATTGCGTCTATAGAAGCAATGGATCAAGCCAAAATAAGAGTGAGATCAACTCCACAATTCTACTCTTCATTTAGCAGACGCTTTTATCCAAAGCAACAACAGTCTCTCCAGGAGTATTCCCAGTACAGTCAAAATGGATTTTACAACCTTTGACCCAAGAGTGGCCAACTTTTAGCCCAGTTATCAGAAACTGTAAAAATCAAAACACCCAGACTTTTAACAATTTATACTAATTAATTAAATGAAAACACGTTATTGGCATTAAAGGAAGAATGTGTGACATTTTACACATAAATACAGCAGAAATCAAGTATATCCTCTGTAAATGTCTGAGTGAGGTTTAAATGCTGGTGCTCAAGGGTGATCTAATGGATCGAAAAGTTCCTTTAAAATGTCAGGAATCCTCAAAACAAATGGTCTAAAACAATGTGTTATGAGTTTCAAAAGTTAGTTCAATGCAAAGCACAACTAAAACTGTATTCCAGATAATTCACTTAATGTGCAGCTAGCTTAAAGTACAGGAGGAATGTGTACATTTCTGCACCTTTCGTGTGATTTCTTGCTTCCCACTTATTACATTGAAATGATTTCCTTACAGGTGTCATGTGAAGTGTAAAATACAACATAATCAACATGATGCAGACATAATGATGGCTTACAGAGCCAGAGAGTCCTACGGAAATGCAAATTAACAGCAATTATCTTTTATTCCAAGAGTGTTTGTCATGTTAAAAGCGGTGAGTGTTGAATAGATAGTAGTAGTTAAGAGTAGTTAGAAGGCTGTGAATGTAATTGTCCATGCCTTTGAAAAAAGTTTCTAGAAAATGATCTGGTACAGTATTTCTTGTGCAAATCTCAATGCAACAAAGCAAGTTTCATTTTTATACGTGTAGGTTTTAGCTTCACATTAAAATAACAAATGAATTCTGAACATGTCCTCATGTTTAAATATTCAATGTGACTTTGAGATATTTATTTCATCCGGATACAACACCAGAAGAAGAGGATTTTCTTTTCGCTGTAAGATAACCATGGCAACAAAATAACCCCAGGTGATGAAAAGGCTTGTTCTCATGTTCAAAACATTTCTATAGTTGCTGTTAATTGTTCAATTATCACCCCTTTAGAATTTCGAAAGTAAACACATAATGTCGCCTGCTATTAAATGTTTATGCACCACTTGTTAATATTAAGTGTTCAGCGCAGCAGAACATCACTTTAAGTGGTTAATTATAAACAGTCATAGGTCAACAAAATGTCTAAATAATGCTTGTTCAATTTTGTGCCGAATTGATTTTTTATTTTTAGCCTTTTTGAGTCTTAAAAAAAATATTCCATTCTCCTATTTCATAGTTGGTATAATTGCAGAAATGTACTGATGCAGGCATGTGTGAGAACCAGACAATTATGAAAGCTCTTTATTTTATCCGACAGATTCATCTAGTCATCCTTACATTCAAACACTTTTATATCTGACCTGATTCAGGTCAGGCCAATCAAAACTGTTTATCTAGTACTGTGCTGTTTGAAACTCAATCTTGGCATTTTCATGAACAAAAAAAAATTTAAATGAATAAAAAAAAAACATCTGGTCATCTACCAACATAACAAAATAATCTTTCTCAGGGAAGAGTGGATCAACCAAGCGGCAACCCTTTAGTGTTCAACAATTAAGCCAATGCAGAATGACAAAAAAATAATAATAATGCAATTCCTTGATTGTCCACTTAAGGCTGGCTCCAGAACCCAGAAGTCCCATATACAAGCCATATTAAAATGTCTGTTTCTACAGCAGAAATTAACATGTAAAAGCCTGGCCCAAAAACATATTCTGGTCTGATAGGTTAATGCCTTAATTGGCACACACTGTAGGGGGGGTTCATTTTCAATAACTCCTCTGTTGTGATTTTATAAAGGATACCAGTCATGCATAATTAGGGGCGTGTCAGATCTTACTGCAAGCAGCCGTGATGTAGTGGTTTGTCAGGAAGCTTAAGGCCATCCTCAGCTCCAGCTCTTCGCCTGTTGTTAGGTTGACCCAACGATTTACAGAGTCAGTATTTCCAAAATGGCAACCACCAAGGCTGGGCTTCTAAAACAGCCCACCCATGGGTGACACCACTCAGACTTCGTCCATGTTTATATACAGTCTATTGTATCAACCTAGCTAATTAGCCAACTAAAGAATTATCAAAAACATTGACAACATGTCTGTAGCAATTTTCCATTCACTAGTGATTGGCTCCTATCCAGCTTCACCCTCTCATCAAAATATGCTTACTTCTGGCTCAAAAACTACAGCTCAAAAACCAATGGGTGCTATATTAGAGGCTTGTTCACTCCTTTTTTCTATTCTTAATGCTAGTCTGGTAGCTAGCCTATCAGCTCATTGCCACATCACACACTTTGTTGCTCTGAGCGTCCATTCCAGTCCACTCTTGGAAATACAAAAATTGAGCTGTGAGGTTCCAGACTAATTTACATTTTGAAATTGGTCTGGCAATCTCGGGCTAAGCAGGCCCTCAGTGGGCTATAGCATTACAAGACCTACAGTATTGTACTCATGGTGATGAAAAACATGTCAATCTGTATTATTTTCATTGGTGAGTTTTATTCTCACATAGACAAACCTTCATGTTACAACCTCATCAGCCACCATGTCTCACCACAGAAAGAAAAAAAACAATTTCACTTTCTCGGTCTGTATAATATTGTGTTATCAAAAATGGTTTTCCTTCTGCTGTGTGAATCATTACATCTGTCAGCAGAGTTCTGTGTGTACTGTACTCCTTCAACCTGAATGCTATCATCATGTGTGGTCAGTGAAAGCACATATGGTGATGACTAATCGTGAAGTTTGTTTTGCTGACAATTTTTGCTTTGGCTGATGGCCAGTCATCATTTTTTGTTTTTCTCGTTCTCTGCCTTCAAAGATGAAAGAAAAAAAAACAGGTGGGCTTGTTATTACATTTTTTGCTGTTAGGTGAAAAATGCTGCAGAATCAAAACAAGGGGGGGTGGGGGTAAGGTTGCAGTCCATGCAAGGAGATGTTTGTGAGGAGTTACGGGCGGCTTTCTTTCTCTAAAGTAACCAACTTTAAACTCATGCTTAAACCCACCTAGTCACAGCCAATCTGTTGTGACGCCCTCTCTGGTAAACATGCCCAAAAGATGTTGTCAACACTCCAGGCCTGCCGTGGGCTGGAGTCACTTCTGATGAGAGGCAGCTTCCAAGGAAAGGGAAAAGAGGGGAGGATTTGTTTTCTTTCTGTCTCCCCCTGTTTTCACAAATTTGTTGGACCTGTTAAGGCTAATCATTACCAGGGACAAAAAGGGGGCTGGACACTACCACAAGGAGCCATGTCAAAGCACAGAAATCCACAATCTGTCGTCTGGAGACAGATCCAAGTCAACATGACATTTACATTGGTCAAACTTGTGTAGTTTAAAAAGGTTGGTTGAAGATACAAAACATTCAAATAGAAAACAGAGAAATTAATGTAAGGCCATCCTAACTGCTTCATCTATCTATTCATCTACAATACATGTGACGCTCCTTTCTTACTTTAAGCCTCTCTATACACCCACAGGTGTTTTTAGTTTCTCTAGCTGATATGACCAGGACAGATGAGAATATGTGGAGCAATGGTGAGGATATAAGAGTTAAACGTTTATTGTGTCACAACCCAGGCTCAGTGAGCTGGACAAACAGGGAGAACACACAGTTTATTTATTAAGTTATTTAAGCAATAATTTATTGAAAACTAAGGCAAAACATCCCAATTAAAGAATATGCAGTCTGTACACCAGTGGTGAATGTGTGTGGTGTTGTGGAGGCTAATCAAAGACCACAAACTGAATTAACTGGCTCCGCCCTTTACTACCTGAAGGCAACCTGAGTGTGGAGAGATAAAAGGCAACAGGAGGAGCACTGACACAGTCAGGGGTCGTCACACTTGGCACCAACAGCTATGAAAACAGGTTCTACAAAATGAACAGGTTGGTGGAGCTGTCAGTCAAAGAAACTTGTCCACACCTACATATTCCTGAGAAGGGGTCTAATCACTTAACCTGTGTGGATGTACATAAACTCCGCGCATCAACCACTGGGCCACTTGCCCCCCCTGTGGTGTAAATCTAACAGATAACTGACGTCAAACTGCTGGCCTATTGCCTCAACAAATGGAGCGCCAAGTGTATAAAACTTCTGATGTTGTAGTGGAGTGAAAAGAAAACCTCCTTTTTAAAAAAAAGGGCAGAAAATAACATGTTGACTTTCCTGGATAAAGGAAGATAACAACGACTTGTTTAAAATAGTCGACACCATGTAATTTTCATCTATTTGAAGAGGAACACTGGAAGCAGCCTGTATTGACTGCCTCTTTTGTAGCAACATAATTGCTCGTTCTCTCTGTTGATATTTTTCTTGAAAGACAAAATTCCTGCCGACACAATACATCTGCTATGTTTACAACATTAACGTATTTCAGTACATTGATTATTTTCTCCACTTCTGTAAAAACATTGTTTGAAGCAAGTTTTTCAAAGTGTATATGAACTGCAAAAGATACCCAGGGCTGGTCATACGTCATAGCCAATTTAAACTGAGTAGCGCCACAAAGCGAGGAGCAGCAACTGTTATTACTGGAGAGAGTCTCATCGGGTATGCAGGTCAGGGCATCCGAAAAGCCTTTGTTCAAGTACGCCAAGAAACTTCTGCCTCCCTCTCCTGTCAGAGACACTCCTTGAGTTAAAGTATTCCCTGTTCAAACAGTTTCATTGGGAAACACTCCAGCAGTGTTGTGCCTCGTTGCCCAACCCATCAACTCTTCCAAAACCTGCTGCCGACTGGTGATCTGCAGAGGGCCTGCAGACACTCCTCATGTCTCCACTATATACCAGCTGTTGTTAAATTGGCACTGCCTTAAGCTTCTGATGAAGCTGACC